AGACCGCAAAGCCGGGGACCTAGGTGGGAAGGGTTCTTCTCTTCCCTTGATTCCTATTTCCCCAACCCTGGACTATATATATATATATATTCCATCCCGCTCGAATCAACTGGAACTTGTTTGTCCCACCCACTTGTCTCGGGGCTTTTTCGTAATCCTATCCTAATCTTGTCATTCATTCCTGGTCCTCAACCTCGGGGGCTACGACAATGGATGAGCCAAAAGTTGGTGAGGTTGACTCGTCATTTGAAAGAAAGTTTGCATCTCGACAACGGAGAAAAGGCTAGGTGGAACTCCGACGGAGCAGTCTCAATGGTCTCATAGCAGCAGAGGGATGAGAGCTTTTCAAGTGGTTCTCAAACCAAGATCTTTGTCCGGAAAGTCAGTAAGGTCCGAGTCGACTTTCTGTATTCGATTAGTCCGCTCAAGATGTAACCGACCTGATTTGTTTGTTTATGCGCGTCAGCATATAAACACTAAAGGAAGGAAAGGGGCAGGCCATCTGCCAATTGGGAATTCATGGATCCAACCAGGATCGGGATAGCCCCAGATGCTGCGATTGCTAGCTTGTTAGCGGAGCAAGAAGAAACAACCAAGAGGGCTGCTGCTGCAAGGTCAATCAATGACTTTTTTTGGCATTGAATGATCTCCAGCAATACTGGTATGGCACCAGAATTCGCAATTCGGATCTTGCTTCTGCAAAATCACAGCAAAATTAGATGGGGAACAATTCTACAGCCAATGCCTTCGGATGCAACTTCAAAAGCTGCAAAATTTAATTGATGCAAACAATACCATTCACTGTGAAAAGCTAGACAAAGCAGAGCAGAGTGCCGCTTCAGTGGCTTCATAATCTTGCGTACGAAGCATCGTAACGAGCCGAGAAATGATCCCTCTTTCCGCTAACTTCTGTCTTAGGTTGGTTGCAAGTTTACCAAGTTCTCTGGTAGCTAAAATCTGAGCTTCCCATTCATTAGATAGAAGGGCTTCCACTATCACGTCTTCCATGGTTGGAAGCCCTTTATCCCCCTCAGTCACTTCTCAACTCTCTTTATGTGAAAATGAAAATATAGAAATGTAGTATTTGATTGCTTCAAGGTGGTGTAAGGTTTGGCTTTTGGGAAAAAAGCTTTGGGGTTGTAGAAAGGCAGAGGGAAGAAGGAGAAGAATGTTGATTTCCGTCCGTTGCAACAATTTTTGTTCCATTAAAAAATGGCTCCATTCGGTTTAACCCATTTTTGTTGGGTTTACAGTTGGGTCTAACGCTGATTTCTTCATTTCCCGTCAATTGTCCTTAATTGGCCAAAATTACGTAACTTTGAGGATGAAATGTATTTTGGGTGAAACTTTGAGGATGAAAGTGACCAACAACCCAAACTTTGAAGATGAAAAGTGCATTTTTCCCCATCAATAACCATTAAGGGTCACTTTTTCCCTCATTGGCATTTTATCAAATGAGCTCTGTACAAAACAATATAACAGCGCCAGGAACCATTATACTAACGGTCATTCACATGACTGCAGGTTGAGTCAGAAAAGTACCTAAAACGAGGCATTCAATCGCCATTCTAGGTGGGTTTATTCTTGCTCTTGCAACACCAGCAGAGTTCTGCAAAACTTAGAAGCAAAAGGCCAAAACCAACTGAAGTTCTACTTAACCTATTGGAAAACCAGGATGAATTTGAAACAGCTAAAATCATGAAACCATACTGCCATGCACCCAATCACAAAACCAAGCAAAGGAAATTGTTGGCGAATTGGTTTTAGATTTGTGATTCTAGTACTTTGCATCAACGTATTCTGTTCCACTTTGTATCGATCATGCAACTGTTTTAGATCGTGATTCGACTATCTCAAATTTAAAAGTAATTTTCTCCATTTAATACATAGCAGGTGAAAACTAAAAAAATATCCTCCATATTCGCTTTATAGGACTTTTATTGTTCTAATCTTCTATTAATATAAGGATTAATCTATCCTACACTAACAGTATATACATCATCAGTATTGAATGAATGATAATTATACAAAATTTGAATTTAAAATTTAATTTTAGTACATGTATCATAAATCTAATGATGATAATATATACATCAGGTATATAAAATTTACTCTTGATATAATTAAAAAAGTTACGAGTAATCTAATTGTTTTATATTTTAGAGTAGTAGTATTTTAGGGTCTGTTTGGTTGGAAGTAAAATATTTTCCTTGAGAAAATATTTTCCGTGGAAGTAATTTTCCATGAAAATCATTTCCTTTTCATCATTTTCATGTGTTTGGTTAGCTTATTGAAAATATTTTCTTACTTCATTTTTCTGGTGTTTGTTTAACTTTTGAAATATTTTCACTTTTATCTCTATCTTTACTTTCTACACATTATAACTACATACTTCTTCCCATGCAAAATAAGAAAATTTATCTCATTGTTTAACTTTAAAAAATCTTGGAGAAATGTATATATGAATAAAAAATATCTCCTTAAGCAATAAACAAATTGCTGGCCATTTAGTGTCAAATATCAATCACGTGCAATGCTTATTGTGACATATATCTTGCACCTCACTGCTGAAAGTTTCTCTAGAAAAGAATGTCCCTATTATACATAATTAATTACTAGCATAGGATGAGCAGGATGAGGTTTCTTTTTTATTTTGAATATACTAGGGGGAGGGTTGGGTTGGGTGATACGGGAGAGGGAGTGTAAGGAAGAGATCTTGGGTTCGAGTTCTCCTGTTTACACTAAAAAAAAAGAAGAATATACTACAATATGTTTTCAGTAAGTTTAGAACATATTATAGGCGGGATGCATGCATTTCGGAAAACAACTTCAGTAAGTTTGGAAGGGAAGTTGTTTTCCACAAGATGAGTGAAAATATTTTACATAGGAAAATGTTTTCAGTAACTTTTGTGCAACCAAACACGAGAAATTAGGAAAATATTTTCCTGGAAAACATTTTCATCCGAAACAAACGGACCCTTAATTAAAGTCATTTTCCCGTTTAAAAATTGCTCTCCTCCACTTGTGAAAATATCTCCAATAAATATTGCTCTTTAACATTGAAAATAACTTAAAATCAATATAATTGGAAAAAATTTACGAGTACACTAATTGTTTTATGGAGTAATATACTACTACTTTTTAGTGAAAATTAATTTTTCACTTAGGATAATTATTGATCGAAAAAAATCCACAAGTAGACAAACTGTTCTAAGTTCCAATTTGATTGTTTTAAATTGAAGTTCTTTCCCACAATCAAGTAGCCAAAAACTGGCCATATGTTTTCATTTATTGTAAAGAAGGATTTCTACTAGTCTAATGTACTGAAATAATCCACTTGTACTCCAATTGTTTTAGATGCGGTCCCAGTATTTGCAACCCACTGATTTACGCTTTCTCTCGTCTTGAATGAGCAGCAAACATTCTTCAAGCAAGCAATTAATTGCACCGTCAAAACAGAGTCTCAAGCATTACAGGCTTTGCAGGCAGTTCAGCACAAACATTTGGCCCAACATTATACCTTTCTTGACAGAATTCCAATCAACTGCTATCTGCAATCAGGGACGGAGCCAGAAATTTATTTTTGGGGGGGCTGAAGTGTATTAAAATTTTTTTTTTGTGACGAAATAAATATATTTAATAAGTAAAATTTAGAATCAATAATTATAAAAATAATAAAAACATATAATTATACATACCCAAAAATTTGTTATTGATTAACACTTGAAGTATTGGTAGTTGATTTGGTCTTAACGCACCCGCACTAACTCTGTTGGATTTTGCTTCTTAGCTAGAACATAATTTGTTTCTCAATAGAAAAAGCTATTAGGCTTCTAATTATTTTGTAATTCAGATTCTGATATTGTTGAGCATTGAGCCTTTTCAACTTTGGTGGTGGCGCCATCAGTGAGTACCCCACATTATATTCTTTGCTTGTCTTAATACCTGTGGTGGATCAACTTTGGCAAAGAATAACTTGTTCGGCAATAGAGGCCTAAACAATTATTCAGCCTAAATGATTTAGAAAATTTATCTAAAAAAATCAACCACAGTGCGATGGTGATTTATAGATGGGTAAATTATATTTTACCCCCCTGTGGTTTACCCTTTTTTTACATAACCCCCCTATGGTTTCAAAAGCTATACATAACCCCCTCATGGTTTGGATTAAAGTGTCAAAGTAACGGAAATAGTCCCTCGTAACGGAACTTCTAAAAATGTCGAAATTACCCTTATAAATACATGACACATTAACCCCCTATGATTTTTATATTTTACCATATAACCCCCTTATGGTTTAATACTTTACCATATAACCCCCTTATGATTTTCAAAATATACACATAACCCCCCTTGGTTAATACATAAATTTCAGCCTTACATAAGGGTATTTTTGACATTTTAGATGACGCCGTTACGAGTGACTATTTTCGTTACTTTGACACTTTAATCCAAACCATAAGGGGGTTATGTATAGCTTTTGAAACCATAGAGCGGTTATGTGAAAAAACGCTAAACCACAGGGGGGTAAAGTGGAATTTGCCCTTTATAGATTGATTATCACATAAACAAACCAACTCATGCTTGTAATGCATATAAATGGTATTTAACCAAAACATTTGAATTGAAGATAAATAAATAAAAAATTTTGAACTTCATTAGAATCGGGAGGTAACATTTATGTTCTGCTCCATCTTATACTTATTTTCAAGTGACTTAATAAATTTTAACTTTTATTTGAAAAAAAAATTTAAGGAGTACAATTACCTTAATCAGTGAGAAATTTCAAGTAGTGGCATAGCATAGGTGTTAAAAACTCCATGTTCCACCTCAACTTCTGGTTGCCAGTAATAAGCATGTGATTGAAATGACCCAGAACACAACATCATTGATGTAAAAACTCCATGTTCTGACTATCTCTTTCAATATAAAGTAACCTGTAGGATTAAAAAAAAAATTTCGTGGGGGGGGGGGGGGCTTAAGCCCCCACCAGCCCCCCCTTAAATCCGTGGCTGTCTGCAATCATGTAACATGTACTTCTGATTGCATCCATCATCTGAGAGTAGGCCTCTCATTCTCATCTCATCAATTAAACATGAAATAGCAGGTTGATTGCCCTCCTTAGCATATCCTCTAATTAATATATCATAAACTACATGATTAGGACTTATTTCCTTTTTCAACATGTCATCAAACACTTGTTTTGCTTCAATCATGAATCCTTTGTTGGTTAATCCAAAAATCAAGGAACTGTATGCAAACAAATTAGGCGGAATACCCTCTTTAACCATCTGTTTCTGAAGCCTGAATGCTTCTACAAGGTTTCCTTGCTTGCAAAGCCCTGCAATCCAAGTAGTGTAAAAATACTTATTAGGAACAAATCCAGCGTCGGTCATTTCTCTATAGATCATCTCAACTTGGCTCATTTCCCCCTCTTTGCACATGCCATGAATTAGGACATTGTATGAAATTTCATCAGCATTTTCTTTGCTAAAATGCAGTTTTGCTTCGTCAAGACGCCCATTCTTGCAGAGGCCATCTATTAAGGATGTACGAGTAACAACATCGGGTTGAAAACCTCGAGCCAGCGATTCCTCGTATTCATTCATCGCTGCTTCCACATTTCCAGCCTCGAAATAAGCATGCATAAGAGTAGCAAATATGACACCATCAGGTGCCACTCCGTAATCCATCATAGCTTTTTTAACTTCAACTGCACTATCCAGCCTATTCATATTGCATAGCCCAGATACAATAGCCCCATAAGCAGTGACATCATGCCTAATACCCTGATCATGCATTCTGCTCAAGTACTTCAGAGCATTATCTACATTCTTTTTCTTGAATTCCCCATCAATCATACTAGTATATACAACAATATTAGGTTCAACCCCATCTTCCAACATCCTCGAAAACAAATAAGCAGCCTTTTCCAGCATCCCCCGTTTACAAAAACCATCAATTAGAGCTGAATAAGTAACCACATTTGGAAAAACTGAATTCCTGTGCATATCCAAGTATAATCCCAGTGCAACTTCCAATTCACCAGCCTTACAATATCCATCAATCAAAGAAGTAAAGATTTGTAAATCTGGAAAAACCCCACTACTCTTCATATCCTTAAACACCCTATAGGCCATATTAACGTTATTCATTTTACAATACATGTCAACAAGTATACCATAAGTTACAACATTTGGTACACAAACTTTCCACATCAAACTCATATACACAAGCAACCCTTCAACCTTTCCAACCTTACAAAACCCATTAAACATTGCGTTAAAAGTAACCAAATCAGGCCTAACATTCATCAGCCCACTACAAACTTTCCTCATCATAAAACAAGCACAACCAACATCAGCATTTCTCAAGTACCCATCAATCAGAGAAGTGTAACTAACTATATCAGGCAAACAACCAAGTTTTGGCATCAAATTTATCAACTTTTGAGCAGAACCAGGAAATCCAAGATTGCAGAAGTATGAAATGACAGAGTTAAAGGCTGAGACAGGAGGAAAGTAGCCTTTTGAAATAAAGGCGACGAGGAGTTTCAATGAGAGGTCGCCGCAGTTGGACCGTGTGAGGCTGTGGAGAGACTTGTTGAAGTCATGGCGGTCCGGAAACTTTCTTGAGGCTTTGAATCTTTGAAGACTATAAGCGAAGAATTTCAAAGCCTCTTTAGTCATGAGAATAGGATAAAATCTCGCTTCGGAATTTTGTCGAACGTGTTGTGAGTAGTATTTGCACAGTTCATTCGCTTCACTGCAGACGAAAGGCCCTTCCGTGCTCCTTATTAGTATAAGTTTACCGCGGCAAAAGTTGGGTATAATATGCCAATATTATTGCCCTTGAAGACGAGAATCCAACAGCATTATACCAATCACGCCTTCAGGTGCCCCAACCCCAACCGTTTCGTCCACATCAATTAGGCCTTCAGTTTCCATTTAGTAAACGTATCCACTTAAAGAACCCATCCAGTAAGGCCCATTTCGGTGATGATAAAAAATTAAAAAAAAAAAAGAAATAAAAATAGACAGTTTAATCTTTAAGGTATTGCTTCCAGAATTGCAGCGATTTCTACACTTGCCCTATTCAGTTTGAATCTTGATTTAGCTGATTGCAATTGGCAAGTGCATATGGGTTAAATTTGGAATGATAATCACTTAAAAGTCAAGTCTGAAATCTGGTTTGTGGATGTATCATGTATGAAAAGCAAATGGATGCGCATAGCTAAAGCAATAAACTATAACAACATAACATTCACTGATAGTTCCATTTCAAAATAATAACAAGTATTCTGAGCCGCACGTTTATAGACACAATTTATACACCAATCTGCCATTTGCAGTCTGCACACATTTATATTTATTGTTCTTCTTGTATTAAGTCATTCCTTAATTTCATTTTACTTTTTTTTTTCAAAAGAATAACCTTTAAAACCATGTAAGGAATGCTCAGAGAACTTGTTACATCGACAATTATTTTTAAAGGGTCTGTCTAACATGTATCTATCGGATACTCGTTAAAATGTACTATTGATGTGAGTTTTTTGAAAAGGTAAAGTTAATTATGGAGAACATATAAATACAAGTGAAGGTATTGATTATTAGTGTGTGCACTAGTTTAGGTGAGATTTAGGTGTGTTAATGAGTGATTAATGGGTATACAGTTAAAAAAAAAAACCCATTTAGAAGAAAAATTACTTACAATTAATATATAGGGGTAATTCTAGAAACCTCCCTTGAGGTTTCTAAGAATTTGATTAACTCCCTTAAGGTTTCAAAAAACCCTTGCTCAATTAAAATAACAATACTAGCCTTAATATTTTAATAAAATTTCCTTGTTACCATGTTTACACAGTGAATGGATTTTATATATTTTTTCTTTCTTATTTATATTTCATTAGAAATATAGAAAACTATCAATGTTGTTCCTGACCTCTATCCTAATCAAATGTTAAACTAGTAATATTTTTTGATAACTTTTAATATTATCCAATTTTTTTGTAACTCCTTTTTTGGTATCAAAATCAAGAATAAATTAACAATAATTAAAAAAAAATGGCCCAAAATCACTAACAAACTATGGTAGTTTCATTGCTAAACTAATCCATAAACTTTTCTTCAAAAAAAAAAGAAGAAAAACTAGCCCATAAACTTTAAAAAAGACAAGATAACACTTTCTCCTATATCTTAAAAAGAATTTATGTCCCCAATAAATCACAATGAAACATAGCCTATCATAGCAAAACATTTATTGTTATTATTGATTATCAAATAATAAATATGGGCATGAAAACTTAACACTCATTCCTTTTATAATTATTTAGAAGAATAAATTAAAATTTATGAGATAATGGCATTTTAGTGTATTCATTAAAATTTTGACCCTATTTTAAAGTTTAGTTTCCAAAGTGTCAAATCAAAGAAGATAAGTGTAATTTTTAAAACTTTAGTGGAACTGAGTGAAATGGTTAGAAACTTCAAAGGAGGCTTCTGAAATTATTCCTAATACATGTCCTAGAACCTGCCGACATGGTCCCAACTGTTAATTGAAGAATTCATAAAGTAATTTTGTTCAAGCTCAAAGGTGCAAATCCACTAAATCGACTCAACATCTGAATAACCATTCTGTATTGATATCGAGCAGCACACCACATTAGCTTTTGATTGTGATTCTTCAGAAGTCATATGATTGAGAAAATGATTGCCAAACATAGAACCAAACAAATATATTTAGTTCTTAAAATGAAAACGTCTAGCATTAATACTTCTTATATAATATATAAATATAACAAACCCATTAGTGGAATATATCAAATACATGCAGTTTAACCGCTGAGATTGAGATATCAAAATTTAGAAATTTTGGATTCAGATATCCCTTTTCCCTCTGCGTTTCTTAATTGTAACACCTGTCTTGCTAAAAAAAATAATCTAAGAAAAAAAAAAAGTGCTCGCACACACACATTTAGTGTATACTTGGTCTTTTTCTTAAGCCTAGCATTTGATTTAATGTCTTGTTTAAGAAATTAACATCTGAGAGAGTGAGAGTTGAGACTCTTTAAACCTGATCAACAAAGGCTACAAACTTACTTTATGTAAATATACTTGCATCAGGCAAGAAGCATGAGTGAAGATACTCAAGCACCTTGAAGCTAGTGCTCTAAACAAACGGAGTTTTGGACCAGTTTTGTTGATTGTTCCAAGTTTGTGATAACCACAAATCTTGTACTTCAACTGATCTTGAGAAATTCATTCTTTTTTTTTTTTTTTGTCGAAATGAGAAATTCATTCGACCTAGCTAATAGTAGCCAAATTAAGATAAAATCTCTAACGTCAGTCAAGAAATCAATCAAGTCATTTGGCTCTTTTTTTAAAAAAATTTTCCCTTTTTTTTCAGCCTAATATAAAGAGACTACTTCCAACAAGACAGCAGGTTTTGCTATTTATTTTATAAAAAAAAAAAAAATTTTATTCGACACACATCCATATTCAATGGAAATAAAGTAAAAAGACTGTCCATCTCTCTCATTTTTTAACTATTCCCATGTGTTTTTAACATGGGCATCTAGACCTTATTCAATCAGCTTTTCTAGCTGAGCTGCTTTGCTGCATTTTTTGGGTAATGTTGCAGGCTTGCAGCCAACCCAAGATCATATTAACCACTTATCCACAATTCCTGGATGTCATAAAACTCCAAACAGAAACCAGTTTGTAGTCTTGAAACAAAGTTGAACAAAAATCCAGAACTTCTGTTCATGGTCTTGACATAGCCCAACCCCAAACTAAACCTCTATAGACTGTTTGTCCAGCCATTAGCAAAAGTGTAGGAGATGGGAGGTGGGCCCAGTGGAGTCATAGTGAAAAGGGGTCCCATCCCTCAAACCACTGTAGCTTTATATACAGTTAGAAGAAGAATTAGGTGTAATGTCACCATGACTTGTCATTGGGCATCTGAGGAGCAAATGTCTACATCTGTTTGTGTGTATTGAGAGAGAATGAGAGAGTTTTAAACATTGAAAGGTTACATGTTTGGAAGGAAACAAAAAGGCAAAAGCTCTATCAAGGGTTTTGAGGTTTGTTGGGGGAACAAAACCCTGTGTTTCCATTAAAATCACTTCTTAACTGTTGAACATGACATGTTAATACACTTTGATTAAGCATTAATGTCTGGGAGTACAACTTACTAGAAAGGTGCTGCCATGCATCAAATATCCCCCTGTCTTTTCTCTCTTAGAAACACATGCAATGGCTGGTGGAAATCTATGTGTGTGGATGCTTTAAGGAATAGTAAGGTTGCCTGCAGGCCAAGAATGCAGCTTTTTGCCCTTTTCTTTATCTCCTTCTTCATTTCTTTTTCATTATTTTCTTTTTTTTTCCCCTTACACATGTCTAGACCTCTATGGATGTATACTTTCACTTTTGGGACATAGGTTTTTCCTATATTTATTTATTTGTAAGTCTACTATAGTTGGATCTATAGTTGACACATGACTAGCTACTCTCATCTGAAACAAATTTATGTTTGAATAGCAAATTTTTTTTTTAAAAAAAATTTTCGCTTGCATCATAAACACATTTTTCAATCAATTTTTTTGTATTTTCAATCACTTTTTTATCTCATATATATCATATCACAAAAAATGTTACAGTAATAATTTCAAATAATTATTTGAAATAATACTCTATCCAAACAAACACAAAAGCAACAAATTGCCAAAAATGTAGACCATATGTGATACTCTAGAGCATTATTTTACCTATATTTCAACTTTGAATAACAATCTAAAGTTAAATTTGATCAAAGATTAATAGCTTGAGACATAGAATTTTGTTTACAAAAATGAAAGTGTAGAAAGGAAGTCACAGTTTCTAATAAGAATTGCATTGCCTTACAATTTAGTTGTCTTATAACAACAACCTGTAGACAGAACAAAATTAGTTTGAAATAAGATTAATTTCATATTTGGAGAAGTAACAATCGAGTTGTCTCAATTAAATTATTTTGTATTTGGACAAGTAAAAAGCCATAACTATTAGGATCGGTCCAATGGTCATAAAAAACACTCTAGATTTTTAGAATTTTCTTTGCTGTTAGATTCGAAATATGAATCCTATATCTAGTAGTTGGAAGTTGAGTGTAGGGAGTTTTTTTTTAAAAAAAAGAAGAGTAAGAAGTCAAACACCTTATTGATTTCATAATAAGCACCAAGTACACTCATAAAAGACGGAAAAAATTATGTGGAAAAAATTACTACAATCTAGAATTAGTTTAAAATATAGGAGAGGAAATCTGCATACTTTATCAGGTTTGTTCTTGTGTTCTAAGAGTTTCCATGGCCGGCCAAAGCCTATGCTATAACTGAAACTTGAAGAGAAGGTTTGTTCTTTCTTGGATACTTGGAACCATATTTGTCTACCAACAACCTCTTTTGTTAGCTAGAATGCTTTACAAACTTATCCACAAAACAAAAAAAACAAAAAAAAAAACATGTTTAGTACTCTAGTTGTAGGATCTTGTCCATTTATTCTCCTATGGTTCGTAATCAACTGAGGTTTCCTTCAAGAATTGTTGTCAAATTCAGCTTATAATACATATTATTAATTCATTCCACCTAGTATGTATGACTATATAATTTGGTCTGGATTTTCTTGATCCTGTGCTCAGGGCAATATGGTTTTTGACTCATGGCGTTGTATGAGGAACAATAATAATAAAAAAAATTAGCAATAAAAATGTATGTGTTCTATGTCAAAATTCCCCAGATAAAAACACGAAAATTGTTTTCATATATAAATAGAGCTGTAAGAGATATTATAATCAATCCAACAATGTTGCCGTCACACATAATAAGAGATAATAGTGAATGGATACATAATGACCGTATTCTTGTGCAATTGAATAGCTTCTGTATACAATTCATTAAAGCATGATCAATGAGTTTATAATTTGTAGAAAAAACCCATTTAACTACAAGGTCAACATAATAGTTGTGAAACTATAACGTGATCGAACACAAGATAAAGAGAATGACTAAATCCACGCCTTTATGTTTTGAATCACATACTACTATGCAATATTTTGTACCATACGTCTGGTTTAATGTAATAAAGGTTTAAGTTTAAGATAAAAAGCCAACACAAGTTGGTTCAATTAGTAAGAACGGATCAGTTTCTCACAAAAAAAGATCGTGCGTTCCAATTCCGCTGTTGATATGAGAGCTATGGTAGTAGGCGATTTGTAAAAAAATTCTATAAGCAACCTATGGTTCAAAAGACATGTCTTGATTGGTGGTAATAACTGGAGTCGAATCCATTCAAACTTTTATTTACCAAAAAAAAAAAAAAAGGTTAAGATGAAAAGGCATAGATCTAAGCCCGAGTTGCCAGTTTATAAGGTTAAAAAATTTGTAGACTCCAATATTGATGTTCTTAGTTAAAAAGTAGAATAAATCAGTTATACTAATGAGTTCTAAACCGAGATGTACAAGCATACAATTATTCTGTAGACAAAAATGTTAATCTATGTTATCTCCAGTCACTAATGACACTTAACCAAAACAACAATAAAATAACAGGGCTGATTAAGCAACCTCTTCAAAGTTGGAAGTAAAGATAACATAAACAAACGCTAATGACATCCAAGATTACCAGATCACCAGACACATTGGCTGCTGTCCCTCTCCATACTCACACGAACCATAGGAGGCGCTCAGTAGAGTCAGAACAGAAAAGCCCACTAAAACACGCCGGGGTGGCCGCTGCGCACCACCAACCTTTCCTTTTACGTGTTGTGTGTGCATTACGCATGCCCTCGCAATCTTTCACTTCTTCAGTGCTGTATAGCCCAAGTGCGCAAACAGCTCACTTTTGAAGCTAATAAATACAAAAAGAGGTTCAATTAATTATTTGAAGTGTTAAAGTGTTGTTAATCTTACACTTTTTAATCGAGTAATATATTATATTATATTTGTACATGGATTAAAAAATTTCTGAAGTTAAACTAAACTATTAGATAATTCTAAAATGTTGCCATGAAGATAAAATTCATTCATTATGTTTATACCTGGCAAATGGGCGGGTTGGGCGGTTTTTGGGCGGATTGATTTGGGTTTTCATTTAAATGGGTGACACCCAATCCGCCCAACTTTAGATTGGATTAATTTTGGGTTGGGTCATATTGGGTCATCTCAAACCCATGACCCAAATATGACCCAATATATTAATTAATAAATTTTGATACATAAACTCTCTCAAATACATATTCACATACAAAAAAAAAATTTCACACACATAAACACATTTTCACATAGATAGACATATTTTTACACACTAAAACACTCATAGACACACACACACTCACTTTTTAAACTCTTTTGAAATACGTTATTTTTACACATACAAACACATTATAATACACACTAATATACTTTCACAAATACACACACATACTAACTATTTAAATTACTTGGATGAACTCACTATTTTTTATACAAGATTTTCAAATTGGGTATTGTTTTGATCCAAACTAAGAGACCGAAACAACAATTTTGGGTGGAACAATAAATTGGGGGGGAGGGACTTGTTTTTTCATTTTGAATGAAAAAAAGAAAAAGAAATAGAAGAACAGGAGGATGCATTTTTCCGGAACTCGGCAAAAGGATGGATGTGAAGACCGAAGAGTACAAGGATTTTTTTTTTCTTTTTTTTTTTAAATCCTACTGACATTTGTGCTGCACCGTTCATTTCTCAATTTTGTTCTTTTTAAGCATTACTCGTTGATCATCCTTCTCAGTGTGTAGTAGTAGTATATATATGATAATTATACATACCAGTACATATATGGGTTTTGCTTGATCCAACAAGGCTGGTCATTTCTTTTTTGTTTCTTGATTTTAATTTGTTAATTTTTTTTAACTTAAATTGGGTAATGGGTGCCCAACACAAATACCCAAACCACCCAAAATATATATGAATTTTTATTACCCAACCCAAAATTAACCCAAAACCCAACTTACCCAACCCAACCTCTCAAATTAGTGGGTGGGTTGGGTGGGTTGTTGGGTTTTGGGTATAATTGCCAGCTCTAATTATGTTTAATGCGAGCAACCTTTTTTTGATACGTTGATGATGCTTTTAACAAAATTAAATGACAGATGGTTAACTGATACGATCGTTAAATTTTTTATCCTGCAATCCAAATGACAGATTTTGAAATCAACACAAGTTATTGTACGTAGTTTCTTTATCAGTTGATTAATTGTCGAGTATTGAGCAGGTTGAATCAAAATTGGTTCGACGAGGGATCATGGAAATTCGCGTTTGTTACGTGAAAAAGAAAAGATTTGAGTGTATTAGGGAATTCATAAACTGCTGTTTATCTTTAAGATAGACCATTAATAATCTGATTAGTTTACTAATGCATTCCTTACCCTCTATTAATAGGGCTACATCTCCTGCTCACCACCTGTAGTGCGAGATGTCGCTGGCTCTGTACTTAACAGCAAGGCTTCTCTGCAAAAATGCAGTATTTTATGTTTCTCATATCTCACACTCCGCACATTGCACCATCCACTTCCCCAATTATCTAACTTGACAAAAATGTCCATAAAATTCTTAAAAATTACATAGCCCCCCTTTTAAAAGAAAAAAAATCTAAGAAAATTTAAAAAATAAAATAGCAAGTTCCAAAGAAAGAAGATAATTTTGACAGCATGTGAAACTTTTCCTCTACTGCTGTTTGTGGCGAATTGTGCACCTCTTGTTCTCTCTTAATCTCATTCCTTTTAACAGTACGAGTTAATTAGAATATAAATTTACGACTCTGTAGACATTATATGCATCAATTGGACACTAGGAAAAAAAAATCATGAAAATAAGAAAATAAGAACAAACAAAATTTCTACAGTTATGAAGCTTGCTACTAGTTTGAGTATAGCACTATTGTTTCAAATAATATTTCGCTTGCATTATAAATACATTTTCCAACCCACCTTTTTATATTTCCAACCACCTTTTTATCTCATATACATCACATCACAAAAAGTGCTACAGTAATTATTTTAAATAATATTTCAAATTATATCCTATCCAAACAAAGTATTTGAATTGTGATTTTCTGCAAAAAAATTTTACGTTTTATGTGAATATATTTTAAAATTATTTTTTTGTTTCACATGCATCAAGTCGTTAAAATAGATTTATCTGCAAAAACTCCTACAATACACATACATTAACTGGTTATTATAAAGTTGATAGAAGTTAGATAGTTAATCGTACAACAACAAAAGTACCACTTGTGTTGCTCCACTTTGCCTGTTTGACGAGATGTATCAATTAAATACGAAAAGTTTTATATAAAAAGGTACTCGAATTTTTGTCCACTTACAACTCTTTAAGCATAGAGTACAACCTAAGCAAAACTTGATGGCCGAATCTTTATTTACCGGAAGCATGAGGGCGTCAAAGTCAAATTCCCCATCTACGTTGTCAAGCCCCACCCTCAAATATCAGGTGTCCCCTGGCACTCCTACCATATTAATCTCTACCGTCTCATTCTTCTAGCTTGAATGCAATTTTCCATTCTCAAAACAAAAAATAATTAATTTTCAAAAGAGAAAAAAGAGAGGAGGAGGATAAAAAAAAAAAAAAAATGCCCTCCAAAAAACTATCAATAAAATTTTCTAACATTTAGAAATGTACAAGTTTCTCTTATTATCACCAAAATACACATGATCTTATTTGAATTGCAATTTTTCATCTAAAAATCTTTACGATTTTTATAAACACATTTTTTCAATTAAAATTTTACCTCGTATATATTAAATTGTTATAATATTATTTTAATGAAAATTCTAAAAAATAACAATCCAAATGGACTCAATATATATTGTAATTTTCTCTTTTTTTTTATGTGAAAAACATAAGGCTGTTACATTCAAATATTTGTGTAAATTTGTGAACACTTTTTTTTAAAAAAATAATATAGATGCTTGTGTATATGTAAGCACAAAAACAGGGTGCATTTGGAGAATGCAATTATTTGAAATACGTATATATAACTGATTTTTTATCCTTTTACTCATAATTTCATTTACATATATCATATAAAAATTGTTGCAGTGAAATAACAAAAATTTTTTCCCAACTTTTTATACAAATAATTAGTGTAAATAAGCAAATTTCACGATTAATAAATTCTATCGTTATACAGTAATTTCCTTCCATTTTTCTCGAAATACAACGACCCAACACCTTCACTATACGTGCCCGTAGTTATACAGGCAATTTTTTCAGACGAGCCAATAATTAAAAAAAAAAAGAAAAAAAACCAAAAGATTCAAAAAGAAAAAAAAAAAAAAAATCACTTCTCCCTTCCACTACTCTACTAGTACTCACACTACTGTTTACTTCTATTTGAACTCTCCATCACAATCTCTCTCTCTCTTCTCTTTCTCTCTCACACACTAACACACCTCCACTCTCTCACACTTTGATTCACATTCGAACCCTACACTTCTTCACAGCTAAGATTCCTCTGCATTTTCAGCTCTTTCAGTTTACCTTTCTCTATTTATACATAAAATTTAGGTTTTTTCCGTGGATTTGATGTGAGAGTGAAGAGAGGGGGGAGAGAGAGAGAGAGGAGAGGATAAATAGATCGGAGATGGCGGAGGTGACCGGAGACGGAGGAGTGACGGCTGAGCTCAGTGCCGGCGAGAACTACGGCAATGCGAGAGTTACGAGCGAAGTGAATGTGACGCCGTTGACGGTGTCGGCGTCGTTTAAGGAAGGGAAAGGTTCGACGTCGAGGAGAAGAGCGTCGGTTAGGCCGAGTCTCGATGCAGATGAGTTCATAAATCTGCTTCACGGTTCGGATCCGGTGAAGCTGGAGCTTAATCGGCTTGAGAATGAAGTCAGAGGTGTGTAATGCCAGCTGGATCCGACTTGATTTGGCTTCAAATGCCGTTGTTTGGATGTGCATATTTTTTTTGAAAAATTTGTTTTGTTTTTTTATGTGGGGAAATTTGAATGCGGTGGCGTTTTTCTGTTTGGATTTTTGCAGATAAGGACAGAGAATTGGGGGAAGCGCAAGCGGAGATCAAGGCTTTGAGGTTCTCTGAGAGACTGAGAGAAAAAGCAGTTGAAGAGGTTTTAATTTCAGTTTTCCTTTCGTTTTGGGTTTTAATTTTTCTGTTTTGATTTTATTCCTATTGGTTAGCCTGAAATAGAAATGGATTTAAAATGTGGGACTGGGAAGTATTGTGATATTTGATAATGATGTCATTTGCTAATAATGGATATTTTACAGGTTTGCTCCCTCGTAGGCTAATGCTAAATTTAGAACCGTTTTTTGTTCCCCTCTTTTTGGCTATCGTGAATTGTAGGCTGGATTTGGTTAATGGAATTAGTGAGTTGAGAGCAGGATTAAATGAATAAAAGGTACGGAACAATACATTTAAATGTCACACTCCTAGTGAATTGGAAGGATGGATTTAGGTTTGTATACATGGTTGACATGGCGGATAGCAGTAGGGAAAATTATGGGATAATTAGGGGTTCATACATTGCCATGGGGTATATAGAGAGGTGTTAGATGATTTCATTTACGTTTTCCACTTGTATTCTCCTTTCTGCATCATCAAGATAAAACTTTGTACATTGATTGTTAGATACTGGATTCAATTGTGGTGTCTCAAAACCTGTTTAACCATTGACCAAAAAATCATTTTTTTACTTTTATGGTTGTTGCTAATTATTTAGCGACGGAATAGAAAATGAGACGCTCTTATAAGCTTGTGTAGTTGCCTTCATGAATTGTAGCAACTATGTTGCAAAGAATATCGTTAACTCTGCTTGACATGGTGGAAAAAGGAATACAAAGCAATAGCTACCACAGAAAGGTCAACGTCCAACAACTTCTCTGGGAACTGTGAGAGGCTGCAAGTATTTTTCTTTACTTTGATGTTATGTGGGCCTATAATTTGGAAACTCTGTTGAATTAAACTCCGATCAGAATAATGAAGCACAAAGGAGATTTAAGAAAGTACTTATTCTGAATTTTTGATGTAAGCTTGTATGTTTTTGGAATTTCTTACAGAACTTATATGATGTTTTGTAAAGAATGAAATTAAGTAGGAAACTTGGAACTGTGTTGGGATGCTTTAAGTATATTGTTCTAGAATATTAGCTATACTTAAATTTTGCTTCTATTTTTGTTGTTTTGTTTGTTATGTATGTAAGTAGGATGTAACTGGGGGGAGGGGGGGAGGGGGGGAGGTTTTGGTTGGGTGGTAAGGTGGGAAGGATTGTAAGCAAGAGGTGTTGGGTTCAAGCCGTCCCACTTACCAAAAAAAATGGTATTTGGTTTGTTATGGATGTAATAACTTCCATAATCCTTTTGATTTATGGGTAAAAAGTTATTGAAACAAATTAAAATTTCTTGAATTGCTATTATTTTAGTACTAGCGATTTATCCCTTTTGAAGAGTGAGTCGCTTCAATTCTTGTCGGGCAAGGCAGGACTCTTACTATTTTATTTATGATTCTGTTAGTTAAAATGCATTTTTAATCTAGAGATAGCGTGAGAAATAAGTAAACACTTTTGATAGGTAAATGGATGTGCATTTGGTAAAGTAAGATCAGATAATTATATACTTATCCTTGTTACAATGGTCAAAAGTGTTGGTGGGCATATTTGGTAGTGCAGAGACGTGTTCATAGAAGGATTTTATGTCAAGCATTTCCCATATGTTGGCCTCTTGTCCCACCTTCTCTTTCTTTCCTGCTATAGATATCTTAATATATGCCAGGGAGAGAAAAAAAAAAGTTGTGAATTTCACTTTCGCTTGCAAATTTTCTGTTTTATGCAAAATACAGAACGAACTATGAAGGTTTTTGGTTGTGCAATCAACATTTCAGAGCCAATATTAGGACTGTACTTTAAGTACTCATATTGTGATCTTCTAAATAATTATTTGGCTGTAAAGGTAACATTTCCTGTTATTTGCATCTTTAGATAAAGTGCAAAATACTCACTTTGAGGGGTGCACATTGTTAAGTTACAGGTGTATGCCTTGGGTGGCATATCATTTCCTTCTGATTTTGTTGAACGAAAATTTTATCCACAGTGCCTCAGGGTGCCACCTGAGAAATGCCTTGTAAATCTTGCCTGTTACCATATCTGCAACCTGTAGATGCAGTGTTCTTTATGTACATTCAACAACTCTGTCAAACTATCAAGGCAATTTTTCATATTTGATGGATCTTCAGTCCATTAATTTGAATAACTGAGTGCCACAGTATTTTGCTTCTGGCCTTGAAGGATCTCATCTTTATTAAAGTATGTAAATTAAAGATCTAATTTGTTTTTTTTTCCTGTGCAGCTTACTGACGAATTGGCACGGGTGGAGGAGAAGCTAAAGTTAACAGAATCACTTCTAGAGAGCAGAGTACAAACTAAAGCCTTGAATTTCCTATTCCGTTCTTTTCATCTGGAGATCTCTTATTGACAGGATGAGACGTCTCTCTACAGAATCTTGAAATTAAGAAAATCAATGATGAGAAGAAGGCCTCCATGGCAGCTCAGTTTGCTGCTGAAGCAACCCTTCGGAGGGTGCACAATGCTCAAAAGGATGATGATATGCCTCCCATTGAAGCCATTCTTGCACCCTTGGAAGCTGAGCTCAAGCTTGCTCGACAGGAGGTATTCCCTGGAGTCTTATATTTGGTTGTCTAGCCCTATTTGTAATAAAAATGCTCCAATGTGAGAAGGTATTGCTCCATGGTTTGTTGCTGCTGTTTTTTCTAGATTGCGAAGCTGCAAGATGATAATAAAGCATTAGATCGCCTAACCAAGTCAAAAGAAGCTGCTTTACTGGAGGCTGAGAGAACTGTGCAAGTGGCATTGGCGAAGGCATCTATGGTGGATGATCTCCAGAATAAAAACCAGGAGTTGATGAAGCAGATAGAAATTTGCCAGGTTCTGATCAGTAATGCTATATCCTTTTTGAGGCTTTTTCCAATAGTTTGCTGAGCTGCACTTGATCTTACCATTTACATTTACTTGTCAAAACACATTAATGACAGGAGGAAAATAAAATTTTGGATAAATTACACCGTCAAAAAGTTGCCGAGGTTGAAAAACTAACCCAGACTGTGCGTGAACTTGAGGAAGCGGTTCTGGCTGGTGGGGCAGCTGCTAACGCTGTGCGGGATTACCAGCGGAAAGTTCAAGAGATGAATGTAATGTCATAATTCGATTTGCCTGTGAATATCCTCAGATTGAAGGTCTGTGTGCAACCATTTGATCAATTATTTATACATTTGGTTCTCCAGGAGGAGAGGAAAACTCTGGACCGGGAGCTGGCCCGTGCAAAGGTAACAGCAAACAGGGTTGCAACAGTGGTTGCTAATGAGTGGAAAGATGCTAATGACAAGGTTATGCCTGTAAAGCAATGGCTTGAAGAAAGAAGGTTCTTGCAGGTATAATTCATTTCCACTTCCAGTTGATTGCCAAAAAAAAAAGCACTTTTTAAAGCCGATTTTCATGCATCTCTTTTATTTTCACTGCCTTTCCTGCCTCTGCACTCTATTGCTCTTCCACTTAAGTGTTTTGCTTTGCCATTTCTGCCAGTTTGTAGTAATAACCATATTTGTTGTCACAGGGTGAGATGCAGCAATTGCGAGACAAACTTGCCATTTCTGAGAGAACAGCGAAATCTGAAGCTCAATTGAAGGTTCTAGTTGGTTTATGGAGAAAATGCCTAATAAGCTTTCAACTCCTTGTTAATTTGTCTTTTCTCACTGTCTCTTGTATCCAGGAAAAATATCAACTGCGGCTCAAAGTTCTAGAGGAAACTTTGCGATCACCAAACTCAAGCGTTCGCAACACACCAGATGGAAGAAGTTCAAGCAATGGTCTTTCACGCCGTCAATCACTTGGTGGAGCCGAAAATATATCTAAGCTGACCTCCAATGGTTTTTTGCCCAAGAGGTCACCATCCTTTCAGATGAGATCTTCTGGTAGCAGTACAGTGTTGAAGCACGCAAAAGGGACATCGAAGTCGTTTGATGGAGGCTCACGGTCATTAGATAGGAGTAAAATTCTTTTAAATGGAACTGGTCCCAACTTCAAAATGAGCCAATCTTGTGATGGGACCAAGGATAGTGAGCCTCAAAAGAGTACCTGGAAAGAAAATCAGGATGAAAAACCTAGTGATGTACAAGTAACAGAAACAGATGATACCGTGCTAGGTTTACTATATGATTTGCTGCAGAAAGAGGTGGTTGCTTTGAGGAAAGCTGGTCATGAAAAGGATCAAAGCCTCAAAGATAAAGATGATGCAATTGAGGTAGATTTTATTATCCTGTGATCTTACAATTGCAATGAAAATTAGGTTTCCTAAGTACTAATTCTTCTTGTTCAGATGTTGGCAAAAAAAGTAGAAACTTTAACAAAGGCAATGGAAGTTGAGGCTAAGAAGATGAGAAGAGAAGTAGCTGCCATGGAGAAAGAGGTGGCTGCCATGCGTGTTGACAAAGAGCACGAAAATAGAGCAAAAAGATTTGCTAATTCCAAGGGTCCAGTGAACAGTTCTCAGTTGATACCTGGAAGGTATGCTGCATGCCTTATGTTTTATGAACAGAAGCCATTCTATATCGTTCCTAACGTTACTGCTTAGTATGGTGATACTCTAATTACCAAACATGATTATAGATTTTGTGCTGCTGTTAGGGTTTTGTGATTTCTGTTATTTTTTCTGCCTGGAAATGTGATTGATTATGTCCTTGTATAATGATTGGCATTTGCAGTTTGGAAATTTATACCTGTTGTACACTGGATACTCAGTGTCTACAAGGAATTTATGCCACATCTCCATGGCTCGATGTCTTTCTTTTTTTGGTGCTTCCCAAGTACATGGGTACCTTTTTTTTTTTTTTGAGAGAACAGAGATGTGAACGAGAATCTTTTTTGAAGCTGAAGTTTTGCTTGTGATTTATGTTGAATGCATTCGGTCTGTGCTTTAACTGCTTAATGACTTGTAGACTGCATTTCAAAGCATGAAGAGACACTTTTTTGCTGCTAAGTTTTGTGAAACACATGTGGTTTTATTGTCTGCTAAGAGTTTGATCTCATCCTGTTGCTACTTTTGAGGGAGAATACCATTCTCAATTTGAAGTTTGTTGATTTTGGATAATCTGTTTTACTGATACCTTTTGAATAATCAAGAACTTGGAAGCAACTGCGGCTAATTTCTTTCAAGTTCATAGTTTGGATGGACAAAAGTATAGAGCCTAAGAAATTTGTAGAGACATACAGATAAGACTTCAGAACCTTAGAAAGTAAAAGGGTGTTCATTTCATAGTGTAGGTGTAATTCAAAGCTGATGAAGCAGTTTATTCTTTGAGTTTGGTTATTGTCTTCAGTCTCAACCAAGGTGTTACAGGAATTTATCTGCAAAAGTTGTCCACAGGTTGAAATATTGTTAAATGCATCCATTGGTAGTGTGCTAAATGGCAGTTGGAGTTCTGTTGAAATGGTGGTAGCATCTGTGGTGCAAGTATGTAGAAGTATGTAGTGCAAGTGTCCTTTCATGCCTGTTTTTAATGATTTTTACTTTGTGGCTTTTACCATGTTTACAAAAGAAAAACCCAGGAATTTTCCCTTTCAATCTTGATCAAGTTCCGAAAGTGAAACGTTTGGGGAATGACATAAGCGATACTAATTTCATATGATTATTTGGAGAAAGACATGGTAGGATAATCTGATCTTCGGATCCCTCCTAATCATGTTATGGAAGTCTTAGGTCCCCAAACTCTGGATTTATGCCAGCAGATGCTTAATTTTATTTGCTTAATTTTGCTTGAACAAGCTTTTCGTTGAAGATAGAGAAATTCTCCATGGACCTTGGTGTTGCATTTATTCTCGCTTCTTACATTTTAAGGACAATCAATGAAGATGCAAGTACTTCAAGTAACGAAATGTTTGGCTTCGTTTTCTGATTTCCATCATCTTAGAAATTTGAACTGATGCACTGTGTTTTCTACAGACATGCAGCCCGAAGTGGTTTAACTCGCAACACACAATAACAAGAAGCCCAGCCAAGGACTAAGGAGCAGTTCTGGACAGAATTTGTATTGGTCCTCCTTTTTTGGTTTCCGTATCTTTACACTTGTGGTTGTTTGTAAAATTGTAACAAGCATACCAATGACCCTCTGCTGTTTCCTTTGGCAAGAGAGATTATATGTAATGGTGCAAATACGGTGGAGGAACAAGTTGGTATGTTCTGACCTAGACTATGATCCCTCTTGCTTAGAATCCATGAAGAAACCGAGGAGATTGAAGTTGAGCTAACCTTTTGGCAGGAATTATTTGAGTGGCAGTGGTTGTGTGGTTGTATAGGTAGAATATTGGCATTTCCTTTGCCTTTACTCTTTTCAAGTTGTTTGCAGTCTATATTTGTAATCTGCAGTTAGTGTGATTGCTATTGGTTCAGGTTTGTCAATATTCTTGTAATCAGATGAAGATCATATTTCCCCTGCTGTATTTTCGTATCATGAATAGTTAAATGCGTTCGTCCATACTTCTAATGGTTTAATCAGCAAGGATTACTTCTAACGTGTTCGTCCAAACCGGCTTCTCTTTACATACGCATTTAATTTTCTTCCGAATATAATTCAGCAAGGATTACTTTCAGTTTCATGGTGCTATAATTTGGTGTTTAGACGATGCAAAAATAATATTTTTTAACGGCAAAGTTTAATTCCGTAAAATTCGTGTTCCATTTAAATTTGTCATCTCCAATTTATGTTTTTAGTTACAGTCTATTATTTTTGTATATTAACCCTCTCACTTCATATTAATGCATTCAAGCACATTTGAAATTAACCGTAATCGAGGGTTTACATATATATATTTGGTATATATATTGGTCTTTGTCGTATTCTCTATTCATTTCTTTTATATTCTTCAGTTCTCACTTGACATTAACCTTCAAATTTCGAGCTTTTTCACAGCATAAAAATTTGCCCATGTGTTCCTCTGCAAGGAATTATGCTTGTGTGAATGGTGATGTGATGTCAGTACTTGATCTATACGGACAGGGCCATGATCATTTGGATATGAATACGAATATGGGCTGTCTCCACCAAAGAGGAAAATCATTTCGATCCAAATATGCTCTTCATCTCCTCCACGGATGTCCACGTGCTGCGCCTGATTGGTCAAAATATTCTGGGGTCAGTTTGGCCTTTGTGTTTCCTTTCTGTCAGATAATCTTGCTCTCAAGCACGCGGCTTCACGTGCACACGAGTTCCTTTCATAAGCAAGACAAGATGCTCTGATGCTACGATTTCTCTGTTGCTTGAACAGAAAATTAACAACGTTACTGGGGAGCTTGTTTTTGGTTCCATCCACTTTGTAATTTGGATTACTGTACTTTTGCCCATGTCCTGAAGTTGTGTTCAATTAGTTGGACAGGTTCTCATTACCTAACCAGAGGCCTCGCAATATTTGCTTTCATTTTTTGCAACAATAACTATTTAACCTACTCTTCCTCCTACTTTGTTGAGGCGAGCCTTAGTCCTTGTAATACTTGCTTTCATTTTTTTTTTTTATCTATAACGATAATTATTTAACCTACTTCTACTCCTACTTTGTTGTTATTTTTTTATCTGCAATGACAACTATTTAATCTACTCTTACTCTTACTCTGTTGAGGGGAATTTAAAGAAACTTGCATGAGGATTGGGAATGAACCATTAGATAGAACAAGAAGTACTATAGTATTATACTTCATAGTACTTCCTGTATATGATGCACTGGGTAGGGGTTCACTAAGTCAGAATTTGAACCCTCGATCCAGTGCACGGAGAGTTTGGACAAGTCACTATGCAATGTTTGCTTTCATGAAGACGGGATTTTGCGACTACTATCAAATGTGCAGAAGTTTTGAAAATAAATATGTTGGTATTTATGATGGACATGGATAAACATCACCCCAATAGTTTTAGCATGCAATATACAAAAATGTTTACATTCACGTCAGAAAACATTAATTCAATGACACGTTTGAAAACATTAATTCAAAGGACTTATTATTCATACATGATTAGTGCATATACTAATCCGTCTAAATGCGAAATATTTTCTTCACATATTTTCACTTTGATAGAATGTTCAGTTGAGATAATGTATATTTTGGGGAAAAAAAAACAAAAGAAGAAGAAACAAATGGTGCAAGTTGAGTCACTAGCTGGCCCAATTTTAGCCATTGGATTGAAGTGTACACCATTAGCCAAATCCAATCCGTCAACTGGACAGAAGAATGGCGCTTGACAAAAATTGGGCCTTAATGGTCTACCAGTACCAACTACCCACCGTATTTGGCAAACTTGGTTTAACCTCTGCACTTTCGGTTTGCAGATTTGTGCAGAACTCTTGAAATACTAGTCAGCAAAAACTCGTATCATACATGTGTAGCACACCTTTTTTTATGTATAAATTAAAAAAAACTTTCATATTTCATATATTTTTAAAATAATTTAAGTATTTTTTTAATTTATTGTATAAAATATGTTGAAAAAATTTTGACGTATATTATACTGCAAACTAAACAAAATTTTAAGTTTTGTGTAGGGATAGTGACATATCTTCTGAATTATATATAGAGTAGTAACAATATATATCATAATTTACTATAGATTTTTATTCATGTCAAACAATAAGGTGATAAAATTTGAATGGATTTAATCTCTCATATACAAAGATAAGAGTTAAAATATATGCATTGAAAATTATAGTAATTCTATCCGTATTTTTTTCCGGTTGTGTAACTTTGGAATATATATTGTACCAGGACAAATTTATATGCGTAATCTTGCCAAACTCATATTTTTGACACTAATATTTTAAGATTAATCCATACTATAATCAGACTTTTGAAAAGAAATACTCACATGTGATAGCCACAATTGTATCTCTCCCTGCTTGAAACTTCTATATCTTGTTGATATAGTAGTAACTTTTCCGCGTTTTCATACGCTTGAATATAATGCATTGATAGAAATATTATGAATTGAGTCCCTACTTTTTTCTTCTACTGCCATTTGATTTCTGATGGAACCACTACTAATGATCAAACAATGCTTCGTCGGTAAACCTTGAACTATAATGTGAAAAAGAGAAGGGCAAACAGAAAACAATCTTCAAAAAATTTCATTCCTATTTGTGATAAAAAATCTTATGTATGTGAGGTACAACTTAAATGATAGAAATAAATTAAATGATAAGCCACCTCCTTAATTTTAGAGATTTTTATATTTGTGTTTATCGTTTAACAATGTCGTGAATTATAGTCGCCTTTTGTAAGTGCATTCTTTGTGATAATGATTTTTTTTAATTTTTATTTTTTTTAGTGTAAGCAGAAGGATTTAGACCCAAGATCTTTTACTTAACCCATCCCTGCCCCTTTGTGATAATGATTAAACGGGGCTTTGGGGTCGCTTTGTTCGTGGACCAAAATATCTGCAATGTTCAAGATTATCCAAAGAAGAAACAAGAAATCAAACACGCTTCTTTCCATGGACTCCGACATCGTGTTAGAAAGCGGGTGAGCCCTCTAAATAATGCTCAAGCAAAGCAAATCGAGCGGATGAAGCCCTCCACATTTGTGGGTTCACTCTGTAATTTATCTTTGGTCCGAATTCCTTTTTTTTAATTTGGTCTGAATTTCTTTTTTCTTTGTTTTGGCCTGAATTTCTTCTTAGGAGTTACATTTTCACAAAGCAAATAGAGTAAGATAATCAACAAAAGCCATGGCACTACTGGTCAAATACTTGAAAATTCTCCCAACAATAGTTGTTTTTCTTCCTAGATGTACTACCCTAATAAATAATTGACTATAACCCCTTTTGGGTTTTCTACCAAGTTAAAATTGAACGTTGAATGATAAAATAAAAAAGTATATGACACTTCAATTGTAGCAATTTCAATTATTTAAAATGTAGACTAATACGATCATAAATAATGTGTCAATTAATTAATGGATATAAATTGAGGGAATGATTCCTTAAAGGAACAATAAAAGTTTCATATAAATATATATATGTATGAACTCAATGAAATTGATCGGAATTTGCAAGTCTAAAATGTATCAGTAGGTTAAGTCATTGTGAACTTCCAACTTAATTGGTTTCTCTCAAGTATATATTGATGATGACTTTGTAAGTTGTTCTACCATCAAATATTTGATGTTATGCTGAAAAGTATAATTATGTAGTTAACCTCTTGCTTAGCTCACTTAGTAGTGAAATAATTTCGCAAAATTCTTGAACAACTTTTCTAACCTATAACAACTATATGTTTCCTTTGAAAAATTTAAATAATTGCTCTCTTCCCTTGAGCTAATTAGCTTTTGATTCGCCTTACTCTAACATTTCAGCAAAAGGTACGTATAGATTGTGCTGAGCACAATATTCAGGTAGAGAGGCGTAATTAACTAACTTCATAAACTCTTCTTGCCTGTGAAACTCTTAAATGCAAACTCATATTAGCAAAGTTTAAGCATTTTTTCCCCAGGTTCTTGTCTAACCTAACTCATAAACTCACTTGAGTACTCCTTCCAATATTTGGCATCATCTCTTCATATGATAACTTTCGAAAAAGGAGCAAAAAAGAAAAGAATCTTGTACAATATTGTCCCATATACTCATGCATGGAGAAGCCAAAAAGCAAACAAATCATCATTGATGATGGATCAAAAAAGATGACAAAAGAAAGATAAAAATGGCCAAAGTGTGGCTAAGCATGCAAACAATAATATCCATTACCGTTTTGTAACGTAAATAAAGAAGCTTTGAGCAGGTGTAATCTAGTATGATTTAACCATAGAAAGCATGGAATCTATAGTAGATAAGATTGTGATTTCTCCATTACGCATGGATTGATTGCAATTTATGCGCTTTATGAATGAGTGGATAGAAGAGATAAGAGCTTTGAGTGAAGGCAATTGAAGGAGGGACCAACCAAAGGCTTCATGACTTTTTTTTTTAATTTATACTGTGGCATGCGAATGGGATCAAAAGTAAATAATTAGGCACACCATTATTGGCAGCAGAAATGATTACTAGCACCCTAAGCATGGGCTCATCTATAATTTATAGCATTGATTGATATACCTTAACATGGCACATCAAATGATTCGTGCAGTTTTATTAGAGAGCGCAAATTGCAACTTTGGTCCTTCAAGCATGGTATTAGTTTCAGTTCTGTACTTCTGATTTTTTTAAATGTATTTGGTTTCCTAAGTTTTTGATGGCTGATTAATTTTCTTTTAAAATGACAAATTTACCTTTTCAAAGTGAACCAAACCTTTGGTTAGTGGAATTCATATTTGTCATTAAAGGGAAAAAAAAGAATTGCTCTGACATAATAAAATACCAGCTACGACATTATCGTTGTTGATTTTGATTCGTTTCAAAAGTGTACACTATTAATATCAAAACTGACTGGCCTGCTACCATTGCTGAATGGATTGAAATGGAAAAATGGGCAAACTTTTATATTTTTTTAAGGGGTAAATCATAAATGTCAACAAATGAAACAAAAAGGCATAATCTGGTGTAAATGAAATCATGGGGACTAAACTGCAGTATTTCATGTTTCCACTGGACGTTCATTTGAGTTTGCACCTTGCAGGGGACTACGAGGACAAATTCGGGAGATAATACTCCAGCTTGTAGTAGCTTCAGGCTCTTTTGTGCTCTTCGTGGTCAGGCGGGATTCGATTCTCATAATTATACTCTTTCCCACCTTTTCTATTTTTCCTAGGAGCCCTTTTGCCAGCTTTGAAAAGAACTTGTATACAAAAGTATGGTGCAACTCAGACAAAATTTAACCCACAATAAAAAAAAGGAAACAATAAAAATAAATCCAATTTTATCATTGATGGACCTTCTTAGTGATTATTGGAATTCTTTTTCTTTTGCTTTGGCAATCATATTATTTATCTAATTTCTGAATCTCCAAGAAAGTGAGTTAAAAAGTAAAAAATCTCCAAATGCAAGTAATAATAAGTGAGACTTTTATAATTTTCAAATGAAAATTTTCTTCCACCCCCTTCCAAAAAAAAGAAAAAGATAGATTCCAAATTCACCTTGAGACTTAAGGGATCTAATTGAAAAAGAGTGATAATTGTCATGACATTTTCGATTAAAGGTCTTAAAATTGAGCTTGAATTGTCACATTGGATTCATTTTATATATTTATTTTTCCAAAAAACTTGTTAAGTTTCTTGTTTAAGTGGTAAAACTACTGAAATATATCCAGTAAATGGGTATTTCTACTATTACCAACACAAAACTCAACCAATCATGATTTATTGTAGTTAATCCAATATGAAAACTTATCTAGTACTCGAGAACTCTTGAGAGATCTTACTTATACATTGGACATTGAACACATCATTTAAACTTGAGAGATCTAGGCTATTTGGACACTTCATTTTGTCTTATCTTACTCGTGTTGAAACTCTTCATCTTTTACTAAAATACTTCTATAGACAATCTCAATAACACAGAAAGAGACTCGGAAGAGTATACATCATAAACAATGGCGGAAGTTAAAGAATTATCTTGTTTGGATTGCAAATTTTTAAGTTTTTGTAAAGAAATATAATTTAATGATGTGATATATGTGAGTTAAATAAGTAATTAAAAAATGTGTCAAGAAAATTTTTTACAAAACTCAAAGGGCAAACAAGGCTACCCTACTTTGGGCTATCCCCATAAGATCTGCACAAAGGAATGGCTTTTGAATCATCAGGTGGATCCGGGAGTAATGTAGTCTCAAATTGACATTGACAATTAATCCTAAAATCTTGAATCCACGTAACACATATGTAGTAAATTACCAACAATATTTGTGAACCTTAATACTAGAGGTGGCAATAAATTGAATTGAACTCAAACTGTATTATCTAAGCTCTAGTCTGATGAATGTTCGCTTTCAAAATCGAGCTTGACTCGTGTAAAACATACTCAATTTGAGTTTAAATTTGAGTTCGAACTCGTTGGAGAAGCAAATTGAGATCGAGGTCATACTTGAGTTTATGAGTTCAAGTGGTGAGGCATGTAAGTTGTTAGATAATTTAATATTTCTTAAGAATAATATATATATAAATATATATATAGATAATTTAATATATATATATATATATATATATTGGCTCGAGTTTAATTCGATAACTGTACTCGAGCAGCTCGAACTTATTTGGATTGAGTGGAGCTTTAACCCAATTTGACTGTGGGCAGCTGGATTTGTTTGCCACCCCTGCATACACCATGTTTGCTTATGCACTATTAAATCACATCCAGACGCTTTACAACATTTAAAAATTTGGCCAAATTTTGGTAGCGCCTCATCCCCATTCGCCAACTCTGAAAAATTGCCTATCTTTTCCTTTTCATGAAAAAAAAATTAATTGCAATTAAAGAACGGTGAGCAAATCATTTGGATAATCACTTTTCCAAAAGCAAGATTTGCACCGCCGTCTGCGGTGAGACCTTTAGCTACACTACCCATCAATCAAAGGAATCCAACAATTTTCTGCAGCTAGGTTGACTCTCCACACTCCACAGCCGAAGTTATATAAAAAGGGCCTCCCAGACTCCAAAATCCAGAGTCCTAGGCCGCCAATACCAACCCAAAAATAGTAAAATACTATGGGTGGTAGCAATACTAGTCACAGCAACCTCAAGAATGCAGTCCTAGCATTTCTAGTTCCCCTGCCCACCATCCTCTTCTACCTCACTTTCCTCTACCACTACCAGGATGATGATCCCAATTTGCTTTCCCCTGTATGGAAATGGTGCTATAACCACCCTATCCTGCTAGCCAACATCTTCTTTTTCTTCAATGTCAATGTTCTCTTTTGGCTCATTGGCCTCATCCAATCTAGCCATTGGGTAAATTTTTGTTTGGCCCATTTTCTTTCATTGGAGTTGACTTTTTTTTTTCTTTTTTCTTTTTACTGTTTATGGAAGTTTTGATTTAGCTCAAAATTCTTGCAAGATTCACAGAATATGAATGTTTTACATGGAGGGACTGTGATAGTTTTCTTCGCTTTTGTTGTTTTGTAGATGATTGATCCGTATTGGACGGTGATACCTGTTTTATTGGTGCACTACTATGCAAACCATCCATTGGCAGTAGAGAATAAGTACAATGTTTGGAGATCAAGAATTGTAACATGTTTGACGTGGGTCTGGAGTATTAGGCTCAGTCATAACTACTTTCGCCGCGAAAATTGGCAATGGGGTGTTAGAGAGGATTGGAGGTTTACAGATATGAAGCATCAGTATGGCAAATGCTGGTGGTGGGTTTCTTTCTTTGCTGTTTACTTGTCCCAACAGGTAATGGTTTATCTCCTTAGAATGATTCTTTTTTTTTTTGTGTGTGTGTGATCTTTTAGGAGTTTGGTAAGAGCCCTTTTGAGTTAAATGTATAAAATTAGTAGAATTAGCTTTTCTTGTACTCATTGCTTTTTGTTAGCTTTAAAATTGATGGAAATAGTAGGACAGAATTGAATGATGTTTATGTGGTGCAACCTCTCTATAACTTGTTTCAACGAAATTTTTGACATAATTATGATAAAGACATGAGCTTTATTGAATAATGAAGTTTTTGGTGCTGAGCTTAGATTGGTTTGTCAGTCATATTTTAGGCGTTTTTCTTCACAAGGTAGATAAATGAAGATGTTTTTAATTCCAGGATTAGTTAAATGGAGCTCAAAGGATGTGATGGACACAAGGAAACTACAGATCAGGCTTTATTAGCATTGACTTGTTTAGAGCTTGTGCTTAGTTGGTTTTTATTTAAGATTTTGACAAGTCTATAATTATGATTATACCCTTTGAAGTTGTTTTCTTATAGAATGATCTGTGGCCCATCATAACTGAATTTAGATTGATAAAGGAATACACAAACAGTATCATTTTAAACGGTTCAGAGGAAGTCACAGCATTTTTAACTGAGTATTTTATGAAATGGAAGAAATTTGTATGCTATAACATCTATTGTTCACGTGTTGGATCACTAGAAGATTGCGCATGTTGTCTACACTGCAGCAAATCGTTCTTAACTTACTAGGAATGTACAGTATCTCTTTTTTTAAGTGAGTTTCGTAGGATACTAAACAATTTGTACATCTCAACAATAATTACTTATTTTATGAAAAATAAGCAATTGATCGGCGTGAACAGTTTGCATGGCTTCATTTGGAAGGTTTAAGCGTTAATGATTAATGACAACAATCCAAACTTTTGCACAAAGTCTCGAAATTGCTAGACCCAGATCTATCATAGCGACATAGATTTAACTCTTTTATGCATATAACATCTCGCTGCATTATTTTAAATTTCTATGATGCATTTTATTCTACTGTAGCAGGATGCTAATTTATTTGGGAAATCTCTCAGAATAAGATTTACTTTGGCGTAGTCAGTCCCCATATTGGGCCTGTACCCTGCACAATTAAGTGATGATTTGCTCCTAATGCCTTTTCCACTTTTTTGGCAGGTCTTTCTCATGGGAATATGCATGCCTATGTATGTGATCCATTTAGAGAACAAGCAACTAGATATCTTGGACTTTGTTGGAATAGCAATATGTTTGTCTGGAATTGCAATTGCTTATTTTGCCGATACACAACTTCATGATTTTGTGAGTAGAAATAAGAAGCTAAAAGAGCTTGGCAAGCCAGTTGTTCCCAACCTTGACAAAGGGCTGTGGCAATACTCAAGACATCCAAACTATTTTGGGGAGCAGTTGTGGTGGTGGGGACTAGTCATTCTTGCATGGAACCTGGGTTATGGCTGGACTTTTGTTGGTTCACTCATCAATAGCCTGTGTTTAGCTTATGTAACTGTGCTTGTGGAGAAGAGGATGTTGAAGCAAGATTACAGGGCTGAAGCATACCAATTGTACCAGAAGACAACTTCAGTGTGGATACCTTGGTTCAGGTCACCGTTGATAGGAAAATCAAAGAACACTTGACTCAAGAATGGTACATGTAATGTGTTTTAGAATTATGCTTTGGATAAGTATTGTCAATTAGGGATCTTTCTTGTATCTTTTGGGATTAATAGAAGTGAGATATCCTCTCTCTGTCCCTTTACTCGAAATTTCATTATTGGGACTTCTCATTCTATTCGATAGGTGTATGGCTCAAACCACAGAAACAGCACATATGCTAATGGTTTCTCATGAACATGGTACCAGTGATGTGCATTCTTGGTGTAGCCAGATAGTTTGGTAATGAAGTTTCAATTGTATCATGGTTCTTTGGGGATGGTTGTATGAAAAGTTGGAATTTAGAAATGGTTTGCTCAGTATAGTTAGTTCATCAGGGAAAACATCAACTCGTAGAGTTCAGTTTTTGAAGATCAAATCCTGTATACAATTAGAAACTTTGAACAGAAGCTCAGGTTAATGTCATATCAAAGCCACTTCAACTAGAACCTTGATTTTCAGCTCTGGCGCAAGTGTGAATCTCTCAAAATGATAATATTAGTAATTATCTGAAAGAATTTAAGAGAGGAGCAAAATATTCTATGGTTAGGACAGGTTGCATGGCTACCTACCTTTTCAGTTTTGCCTAAGAAACAAACAATTAGAGAATAAATGATAACAAATCAATAGAAATATTGGTGTGGGTGTCTGCAGTGGGGACTTTTACGGCTTTACCTTCACCATCCATCAGGATCCAGCTTTCTGCAGAAAAGTTCATCCAACAAAATTAATAGGGTCCCTTATGGGAGTTATTGGCAGGCAAGACTAGACTATGCCATAGCCGGTAGTAGTAATAGCAGCCACAATAACCTCGAATGCACTAACAGAAATTCTTTTTCCCTTTCCCTCAGTATTCTTGTACCTAATTTTCCTCATTCACTAGCACAATGATTATTTTAGTACCTTATGCTCTCTAGGGAAGTTGTGCTTTGACCACCCTTTTCTCCTGGCCAACATTCTCTTTTTCCTTAATGTTAATGTTCTTTTCTGGCTTTTTGGCCTCGTGCAGTCTAAGCATCAGGAAAACTTTACTTTTATCCCATCTGGTTGAGTTTTTCTGATCAAAGTTTCCAATCCTCAGTTCTGAATTTGTTGCGAGACTCAAAATGTAATGACATTTTAGGAGGGATTATGATGTTTTGTTTCTTTGTTTGCAGATGTTGGATATGCACTGGTCAGGGATACCAGTTTTGTCAGTGCGCTGCAAATCAACTCATCCATTAACAGACGATTACGAGTTTAATATTTGGAGATCAAGAATTGTGATACTTTTGACATGGGTTTGGAGTAATAGCTTCTCTGACAGCTACTTATGCCACGAAAATTGGCAATTGGGTCTTAGAGAGGACAGGAGATTTAATCAGCTGCAGCGTGTAGTATGACAAACACTGGTTATGGATTGCAGCATGCAGTATGACAAACACTGGTTGTGGATTTTTTCTTTGCCATATACCTATCTCAACAGGTGCTTTTCCCCTTCTGAGCTATTTTTGAATTCTTTCTGTCGTTTGTACTAGTTTGTTATCTTAAAAATGGTAAAAGATGCAGGACTGAGAGGTTAAGTGATGCTTGTCATTTTGCCACTCCATCAATGTTTCAATGGACTTCTATGCATACCTAAGGTAAAGGATTGGAACATCTAATTTCTTGGTGGTGAGCTTTTGATCAGTTTGTCAACCATATCCTGGGGAAGTTTTGCTCATAAGTTCCACAAGTTTAAATTCTTTTGAATTCTAGGAATGGTCAAGTGAGGCTTGTAAGATTGTAGATATGAGGACCTTATAGATCATGAGCCTTCAGTAGGATTGACTAAGAAGTTCTTAGGATATACAAGTCTATAATGTCAATATTACTTTTGAGCTTTTTAGTTTTTCAATTGTTATAGCTTTTGAGAACTTGATTTATGTCATGGATTGCGAGGGCTTGGCTTTGTGGAAATCTGGAAGCAGCTCGGGTTTAAACATATAGTTGGATTTGTGGAAATCTGGAAGCAGTTCTGGTTTAAATATATAGTTAGCATCACTTCAAACAATTCACATGTAGTCGCAATTATTTTTTTGACAAGTTGTGTGAGGTATTGAACTAAATTGGCACATCATCAAAAAGGTTTTGCAAGCAATGAATTATTCTTGCACATTTAGACTAAGTGCTTGTATACCTATTCTGTCATAATGTACAGAAAATAAATCCTTCAGAATGACAAATCGAGAATGTTAAATTTCTTGTGGCTTCATCTGGTCAGTTGAACATGGTACTAGTTGCCTTGTTTAGATCACAATGGCCAAAGCTTTTTCACAATCTGAGGCACCATAGTGTGGTTTGGCCTCAGATCTCCTAAAGTGATATAGGTGTAAAGCTTTAATACAGGCTTTATTGATGTTTCATCCATCTGTCGCGGGACTAATTAATCACTTGCTTTTTCTGCTTAATTCTCTCCACTAAATGTTGTTTTGCTTCTTATCTTGTTTGTCTGCCAGGTCCTTTTGGTGTGCGGTCAAATCAAAGAGAGTGCAACTTAATATATGCGACTCAGCTGCAATAGCTGTATGTTTGGCTGGTGAAATCTTTGCTTATCATGCCAACAAACAACTCCATGATTTTGTCAGTAGAAATAACAAACTAAAAGAGCTTGGCAAAGGAGTGGTGCTCATACTTGAAGGTTTGTGGCAATACTCGCAACATCCCAACCATATTGGGAGCAGTTGTGGTGGAGACTATTCATCTTCGCAAGGAACCTGGGTTATGGCTGGACGTTTGGTGGTGCACTCTCTAATAGATTCTGTTTAGCTTGTTTGTATGCACATGCGGAGAATCGACCGTTTAAAGCATGATTACAGGGCTGAAGTTTACAAGTTATACCAGAAGAGAACGTCAATTTGGATACCTTGGTTCAGGTCAGCATCGAGGAAAAGACAAGAACACTTGACTCAAAAATGGTCCACATATCTATATTACAGTTATGGCCTTACATTACCACAATTCAATTGTTATCTTTCTTGTGATGTGTTGGGCATAATAAAAATGAAAGAAATCCACCCAGTATCATTCTGCTGTAAAATTCAATATTACCAATTTGCTCCCTAAACGTAAAGATGTGCAACATATGGAAAGCTCTGAGAACCCTGAAGATACAAGAATGGTTTTCTCATAAACTTGGGAACAGCAATGTGTTTGATATAATTGCGTGTAAAGCTTCCAAATCACTGCAATGTATTTGTTGTAGAAAATGCACTTAATGAAATCTATTCTGCAATTTTTTCAACTCATGAATACAAACTGGTCTATGCATAGGCTTACTGGCATTTTGAGTGTAGAGTATGGTATTGATTCTCATCCTCTCATGGCTGTCTAGGAAGCAGGGAAAAAAATGAGAAAGAAGAAGAAGAAAAAAATCGTAAAATCAAGGTAAAAACTCAACATGGTTTTTTCTTAATACTAATGAATGTCCTGCTCATAGCATTGCAGCCTGTGTATTCCATGTTGTTTTCTCTTTCAGTATTCGTTCATTTGGTGCTTTTCATTAGGTCTTGAAGTATCATTCAATGTCTAAATCTTTGAAAATAGTCATGGCTTAAGATAGATTCTTGCAGGGCAAGGAAACTAGATTAAATAACAATAAAATGAGTACCAAATATTCGGCTTAAAAAATGAGGATATTGTAGAACTTTACGGAATTGCATTAATAAAAGTTCTTGAAAACTTCAGTAGCTGTTCTTCATCTACATTGCTTAAGAACATTCATAAATAATAATCTATCTATTTATTCCCTAAGACTACATCCAATGAATTGTTCCGTTTCACAGTAACTACTGACCATTGAGCTAGCTCTATCCTTGGAAATGGGGTTGGAAATGTTCTTTTCTTATGCCTTTTCCTATGATGAATAACAACTATAAGACACATTCAAGCATACTATGCTTTGTTTTGCCAAATTTCGAAAGGTTTCTAGAACAACTTCTCTTAAAGGCTCAAATCGAGGTCAAATTGTCGGAAGGAATATTAATAAAGACGGACAATGTAATAACTATTGTCTGAGTGAAGCCTTGATTAAGGACTTCAATAAGTAGCACTTAAACATTAGGCAAATGTTGGTTATCCGGAAAAACAACATATGTTCCATTCAGACTAAGAAACTGCAATGGCTTTGTCTAGAATGTTTGAAACTATTATGTGGTAACCTAAAGAACTCCACAACACATGTAGCACCATATTAAGTTGTTTGCTTAGTTGCCTTGTCTGGTGAGGATACTTGTGTAATCTGGCTTAAAGTGACATCTACTGAGCAATCTAATAGCTCCTCTTAGATATTTTCCCATTTTTATAAATAGAAAGGAATATCTCAGCATGGAATACAATGAGAGAGAGAGAGAGAGAGAGAGAGAGAGAGGAGTTAAAACTAGGAAAATTTTCTGATTGGCCTAAATACACCTACTGAACTTCCTTTGAAGCTTTGAAATCTTCAATGCAATTGCCAGCCACAATGTGTTGTAGACATTTTCCATGAATTGAAAATAAGCATATCTCCACGATTTCTTGAAAGTGAGGATGCCACAAACTGCAGAGAATCCAACTGCAAAACCAGGTCCAATCCCAGCAAAGAACCATGAGAAATAAGACTCTTCGCCAGCTTCATGTCCACCACTAGACTTATTCCCATCAGGTGATTTGTCGTCAGGGCAAGTTTTCAAGAGTGGTTTACCACAAAGTCCACTGTTGCCTTCAAAACTAGATGGATCATTCAAGGTTTGGAGCTGATTTCCAGTTGGTATTCGCCCTGATAGATTATTAAATGATAGATTTAGGTAACTCAGAGTGTCTATAGTGGACAAACTTAGAGGGATTGAACCAGAGAGTTCATTTCTTGATAAATCAAGAGACTCTAGTTGTTTCAAATTGCCAATTTTGTCTGGGATTCTTCCACTTAGATGATTATTGGACAAAGTCAAACTTTGCAACCCAACAAGATCCATTAGTTCTTCAGGGACCTCTCCAACTAAATTATTTCCTGAAAGCTCCAGGGATCTTAGATAAGGAAGGTTTGTGGAGTACTCGAGCTCTCTTCCTTTCATAAAGTTTGAAAGCTTTTGAGGATGGCGAGTTAGATAAAATGCAAATGGTGTAATGTCTGATTCAGTAGATACCATTGCACTCAAGTTACCAAAACAGGTAGGAATTTTTCCTTCCAGTTTGTTGTGAGCCAAGTTTAGTACCTGAAGATCTTTAAGGTGGCAGAATTGCATTGAAATATTACCTTCAAGGTTATTGGATTGAAGTCTGAGAATTCTTAGATTTGATAACCCATTGCAAATCCAGGCAGGTAAAATGCCTGATAGTCCATTTTCTCCAAGATCAAGAACTTGTAGATTTTTCATGTTCTGCATTTTCCAGGGGAGCTCCCCGTGAAACTTATTTTTGCTCAAGAGTAAATATACCAGAGGTTCCATGTAGCCTAATGAATTTGGGATATGACCAGACAGGCTGTTGTTTCTCAAGTTCAGTGTCTTCAACTGCTGCAGCTTCCCCAGGCATAGAGGGACTCTTCCTGTTAACTGATTGTTGGAGAGATCTAAGGTGAACAAAGACTGTATGTTGCATATACAATCAGGGATGCTTCCAGTCAATTGGTTATCATTCAGATGGAGATATCTCAATATCAGTGGAATTTCCGAGTTCCCATCAAGGGGAGGAATATTTCCAGTTAGCAAATTTCTTGAAGCATCAAATGCAACAGCATTTGGTGGAAACGATACCAAGGAGCCCTCAAATTTGTTGGAATAAAAAATTATGAGTCGATCAAACGTGTTAATTTCTTTGAACACTGGTGGCTTGCCTGTTATGTTGTTGGTGCTAAGATCCAAGTAATGAATCTGCGAATACACCTTTTCAAACCAATCAGGGATGGTATCTGAGATGCTTGCATTTGACATGATCAATGTATTAACCTCCCTTTGTGTTTGAAGCCATGAAGGAAATGGAGGTCCTAATTTGGTGGAACCCATGTGAATATATTGTAGTTGAAATGGAGGAATCCACATGGAGCTTACATTCCAACTCAGCAAGGTTGAAGAAATATCCAGAATTTTGAGTTCCCTGAGATTGGCAAAGTGGAAATCAGACAGCATACCAGTAAATGGGTTGTCTGCAAGACGTAACCTTTGCAGTTTAGTGAGCTGCCCAAGACTTGTAGGAATGGTACCAGAAAACTCATTAGAATGAACATGGAGTATAGTAAGAGAAGATAGTTTCCCCAGGCAAACTGGAAGTGATCCCTGAAAGTGATTAAAACTCAAATCGACATAAGCCAGGCTACTCAAATTACACAATGAATCTGGTAATGAAGTTCTGAAGCTATTGGAGGAAAGATGAAGCAAAGTAAGAGAGTTCAGGTGCAAAAGGGAGTCAGGAATTGGACCAAAGAAGTAGTTACCTTCAAGGTGAAGATTCATGAGTGAAGTCACATTAGAGAACCAGAGAGGAATTGGAGAACTAAAGCCATTCCCTTTGAGGTCAAGGGAAGTAAGAGAAGTGAAATTAATGTGTGAAACAGGAGGAATAGTTTTAAGATCACAACCTGCCAAAGTTAATGATAACAAAGATGGGAGCATGTTAACAGCATGCAACCAATCTCCTTTGTTCACAATCTGTACGCCAGACAAGTCTAAGCTTTCTAGAGAAGAAAGCTTAGCTATCCACCAAAGATCTTTTGCAGTCAATGTGAAGTCTGAGCCAAAACTCCAGCCTTGAGGTGCATCTCCAAGATGGAGGTACTTTAACCTTGAGAGGTTTCCTAGATCATCAGGAACCATTCCTTCAAAACCTGCACTAGACAGGTCGAGATATCTCAAATTCCTTAAGGATCCCAAGAATGTTGGGATTGGAATGCCTGAGAAGTTGTTCATGCTAAGGTCCAAGTATTGCAAATGCTCCAACTCGAGTAAAGATGGACTTATCTCACCTCCCAAGCAGGTTGTGCTGTAACTGTTAGCGTAGATTACATCATAAAAGTACCTGGAAGGATCGAATGGAAATTGGTTATGGAGGTCAAGCTTGACAACATGGCCATTACTCTTGCTACAACCAATTCCTTCCCATGAACAACAGTCTTCTCCAGACCAGGAAGACAGACGGTGTGATTCATCTATTAGGCTTTCCCTAAACTTGAGAAGAGCTTTTCGCTCACTCTCAATGCAGCTTGTGTTTGAGTAGATTTTTTGTGTATGACAAAGCTGAAATTGCACAATGAGAAGCCAAAAATGAAAGGAAAGTAAAGTCGCAACATGGAGATTTCCCATTGCTTTTCTCATGTTGATAAAGTAAATTAGGTGTTTATGGAAATATTGTTTTACGATGGTTTCATGTGAAATCTGGTGGCTAATATAGAATATGATACCGCTTGATCTATACTGAGGTCTTCATCATGCTTGACCTGTGGATTTCCTCTACTTGAAGTGCTTGTGGACGTCAACTGAATCTTCAATGAGCATGCATTCTAGGAGACCTTGACAAAGTCTCCAACATGCGCAGGGCAGGTCATTCCAACTATCAGTTCTTGGGGACTGTGGAGAATTGAAACTTTTTTGATTGATTCTTGTTAATTAAGGAAAATTGTAAAAAGGGCTATTCAATTGCTTGATTAAGAAAAAGGTGCGTGCATAAATATGAGTTTTTTTTTAACTATTTTATTGCAAGGGAAATTCTCGTACAAAATGTTCCTTTTTTTTTTGGGTGCAGATTAAGTAGCAAATTTTGATTGGGAAAAAAAAAAAAAAACAGAGAGCATAAATGTCCTTGAGAGTAACTAACCTAGAACTACATCTATTTTATTAATCATCTGACTGAACGAGTATTTTCACTCAATTTCTCAACCATTTCTCTTTCAATTTCGTGCTGACTTGGTCCACCACTCTAATTTTGACTAGTTCAGAATTTGTTTTCTTCTTGAGAAGCTCCAGATTACTAGTGATTCTCATCGTTTCAATAAAAGACTTGATTTTCTTGGGCTCGACCCGTCGATAGTGAACCATAAGGGAAAGCATTATGTATCAGGATATGCTCCTTCGTGTACGATGGTTAAGACTTAGAAAATAAGCCAGTTGACTGACATCGAGAGTTCCAAGTAGCATATGATGAATGTAGAAGCAATGGGTTGAAAAAATTGGGTAAATACTAATAACTCTACTGTAATTTTGCATATCGCCACATAATTCCTTTAACATTTCAAATATCTACATAACCCCTGTATGGTTTTACATGAAGTAGAAAATGGATTGATAAGCCTACTTGTAAACTTTTCATGTCTTGATAATTTGCCTAATTAACTCAGGCTTACCATATCCCAATTGATAATTCTAGCAGGTTGTGCTGTAATTTTTAGCATTGATTACTTCATAAAAATACCTGGATATGGAAATTGGTTTTTGAGATCAAGATTGAAAACATGATCGTTACTCTTACCACAACCAATTCCTTCCCACAAACAACGGTCTTCTCCAGACCAAGATGACAAACTACTAGATTTATCTACTATGCTTTCCTTGAACTGGAGAAGAGATTTTGCCTCACTCTTATTGCAGCTTATGTTTGAATAACTTTTTGTGGTGCAGCCAATTGAATTTGCAGAATAAGAAGACAAAAATGAAAGAGAAGTAATGCTCTCAAAATGTTTGAATTTGTAGAGAAGGAAGAAGCAAACTAAAATCTTAGCTTTCAATGCTTTATTTATGTAGGTACATTGGTTTTCATATGCTTTGTAGTCAGCACATGCACCAAACTCTGAAATTTTCTTGAAGGTTGTGTGGCAGACTAATACTAATTATAACTAAGCTCATACTTATTTGACCAACCAATAGAAGTAATTTCTTTTCCTACTGTCCACTCTGCATTTCTTACTACCTTTTAGAAGCAGTAGTCATTCTTTAATAGTAGAAGAATAATTTAATTCACAAAAATTCCTTCATTCAATTATTTCATCATCAAAATTACAAGGGTTGATAGGGTTTGTTTGAATTCTCCTTCTTTTTACTGATTGATGACTAAGAAAATCAACCAATGAAGGTACAAGCAAAATGTAACTCTCCAATCTAATTTGTCTCTTTCCATTTCATTTTGAATTTTTATTTTAATTTGAAATTCTTGACTACTCACAATCTAATTCAATTTCTAAATCGTCAAAAACATTGCTATCTGAAACCAAAAGAAGGTGTTTTAGGGCAATGGAGTTTTTGTCATTTGTGCTTTATAGATTTTGCACAAAAATAGTAAAAATTTTTTTTTTAAAAACTCAATTATCTCAACCAATGAAAATTTTCGTTTGTCAAAAATGAACCGTCAAAATCATAAGATTTTATATGTGATGATTCATTTACACTTCATTATTAATAGAAATAACACAAATAACACAAAGACTTCAACTTCATAGTACATACATCTTTTCAGTTTTACAAAACGGGGCACCTAACTTAATATGGAGGAATTTCATTAATATACTAACAAATCAACTCACATAACATGAAAAATAATAATGTAGGGCTTGCAAATGATATTTGTGCAGACGGCTAAATTTTGCTTATGTGAAAGCTCAGGTCATCCAACTCCAAAGAAAATTGAAAATTTGTTCATATATCTAACTACAAATCAAACTATTCTAATAGTGTATTATTAGAATTTTTTGTCATGGCCAAAAAAAAGAGAGAGAAGTAATTAGGAGTATTAGTGCTGTATACACCATTCATAATATTGATAATTTTGTCAATTTTTCCATATTTGGTTAAATCTTAACTTTTTTTTTTGATTGTTGAATTTTGTTGATTGCACTTGAAAGTCCATCACGAGTTTTACTTTTGGATTAGAAAGAGACATATTTATACTCTATACTAGTATACCAAAAGCGTACTGAAAATAAATCCAAGGCTTGACAGACATTTGAAAACAAGCATATAATAAGTATTTGTACATGCAATAATAATATAGAAGGTAAATATGATATACATCATGAATCTTGGAATTTTGGCCTAGGTCCTGCCCCCTGGCTCCACGCTAGTCCTGTGAGAAAATTGATTGGTAGTTTCTAAATCCTAATTAATTTTGGGTCCCATCTGGAACATTTTTTATCTCTGGACATCAGGAATTTAAGTTAAATGCATCCATCTTAGTCTTCTTTTAGAAACATTTGCTTGACTTTGTTGCCTTGTATTACCTAACCGGATTACCATCTCGGGGGACTTGGAGTCTACTTGGGATGTCGTTTGTGGAGACTGAAGTTAATGAAAGCAAAAATTTCTTCACTCTTGAGTCAAGTCGTTGCCCCGCGATGTTGGTTATTCAGCGAGATTGAGGGAGCGATACAAGTTTGGCAATTTGGTCCAAAATCATTGGATGGTTCCTTTCATTTTCTGTCAGTGTACAGCGTAAGTGTTGAAGATTCAAAGAAGATTGGTGAATGGTGATTCATATTTTACTGTGTTCATATCTTTGCGATTTTTAGTTGATATTTGGTTACACCAACACTTTCTTCGACATGTGAATCAATTTGTCACTATTGATTCGCTTGACGTGGATACGTCAAAGTGTTTGATGCATGGGTACAATAATATTTGTGCAATTTTATTCATAGTTTTTTTTTTTGGTCATGCCCTAAATGCTTGAAAATACTTAAATAGACTTAATTTATGAGTTTACTGTTAGACTATATGGCATATGCAATTCTCACATGGATTTTCCTATGCCATCATAAGTCGTTCATAATCATTTTTTCACTGTTTTCTTACACTATTATATATCAATAAATGATGTGGATATAAATGTGACATATTTCCCGAAATCTAAGCATGTTATTACTTGAAAGTATCTGAAAAGCATTGCTACTTATGAATTCGCTCAAAATGGGCTGAAGAGAAATTCTTTTTTTTTTTTTTTTAAACCAGTTTTGCTGTTATTTTTTGTTTCGCTAAGATTTATGTTATAGAATTTCCTTCTTATGACTTTGTCGCCTTGAGTTGTCTACCCTTTTACGTTTTAGAAAAAGTAGATTTTATGCTTCTTAGGGATCAACAAAGTTACATTTTGCTGCTTATCTTGATTGAATAATTCAGTTTAAAAAACTTGTAGCAGATAATTCTATTAGCATAAAACCATAAAGACACATGATTTTTTGTCATAGACCAAAAGGAACCAAAACCACAAAATAAAACATTAGAGAAATGCCTTTACAGATGTCATTGCTGCCTTCTCCTGCTAAAGAGATTATCTAGGAACAGAAACAATGCATTGCTCCAGGACCTTTTGAAAGCTAGAGTGCAACAAACAACCAGGAATCCAAAGCCAAAACCAGGTCCTAAACCAGCATAAAACCATAAGGACTCGAGCTGCATGTCACTCTCACTATCCAGCAATGGCTCATCTCCATTTGATGATTTTTCTTCAGGACAGCTATTTGACAGTGGTGCTCCACAAAGTCCACTATTACCTTCATAAATGGATTCATTATTCAAGGTTTGGAGTTGTTTCCCAGTAGGTATTGGCCCTGATAAGTTATTGAACGACAGGTTTAGGTGGCTCAGTGAATATATGATGGATAAACTTGTAGGAATTGGACCTGAAAGCTCATTTCTTGATAAATCAAGAGTCTCAAGGTTTTTCAAGTTGCCAATCTTCTCAGGAATTGTTCCCTGAAGATGATTGTGCGGAAGATTAAGATTCTTCAATACTAGGAGATCCATTAGCTCTTCAGGGATCTCTCCTGATATATTGTTGTGTGAAAGCTGTATTGATCAAAGAAAAGGCAAGGTTGTAGAATACTTCTGTTCCATACCTTGTGCGGATTCTAAAATTCTCCGCTCAAAATAAATTAAGAACCGCATGTGAAAGGATAATATTGGATCATCTGAAATCATGGCACTGAAGTTATTAACACAATGAGGGATGCTCCCAGATAAATTGTTCTTTGCCAAGTCCAGCAGCCTGAGAATCTTCAGTTGACAGAGTTGCAATGGAATACCACTGTAAAAGTTATTTGAGTGAAGTCTGAGATATACAAGGTCTTGTAACTCTTCTCCTATCCAGGAAGGAATGATGTCCTTCAGTACATTATCCCCGAGATCTAGAATGTGCAATCCTTTCAGGTTTCTGACTGACGATGGAATTTTTCCATCCAATTTGTTCTGCTGCAGGTGCAAAGAATGAAGTTCCTCAGAAAAAAACCAAGAATCTGGAATTTGCCTGCTGAGACTATTATTAGAGAGATCAAGCACTTGCAAGTTCTGAAGATTGGCCAGGCATGAGGGGATTGTCCCTGAAAATTGATTCGCTGATAGATCAATTCGTAGCAAACTGTTATTTGAGAGGTCAAGCACATGCAAAGTTTTGGAGGTTCGCCAAGCATGAAGGGATCTTTCCTGATGACTGGTTGCTTGATAGATCAATGAATATCAAACTCTGAATTACACATATAGACGGAGAGATTTCACCCATGAAATGGTTATCAAAGAGTGAGAGATGAGTCAATGACAGATCCAAATAACTGTCAAATAGAGGTAGCTGGCCTTCCAAGGAATTTCGGAAAGATCAACCAAATAAGCTCCCAATGGAACAGATGTTATCGTGCCCTTGAATTTGTTGGAGTTCAGCTTTATTACTCGGAAAGAATCATTATATTCTTCAAATTTTGGTAATCTTCCACTTATGTTGTTGTGTGACAAATCTAGATCGTCAATTCGAGAATACATATTCTCAAACCAACCGGGTATGACATCTGAGATGCTCGCATTTGACATGATCAACCTTTTCACTCCCTTTCGAGTTTGCAGCCAAGGAGGAAGTTGGGGGCCTACATCAATCGATTCTAACTCAATCATTTGCAGTTGAAAAGGTGGAATCCATAGAGGACTCGCTTTGAATAGGAATAAATTTGAAGAGACTAACAAATTCTTTAATTTCGAGAGCTGCTCAAAGTGGACTTCAGAGATTACACCACTCAATGAATTATTGGAAATTTCCTACTTTACCAACTCTAAAAGTTGTACAATACTTGAGGGAACACTACCATTGAATTTATTGTTGCTAATATCCAGCTCCCTTAAGTGTGACAGGCTAGCTCAGAAGGAATTGTGCCAGAGAGTGAATTAAAAGAAAGATGGAGTACCTCCGGATTCCTGTACATTTCCAGCTGACTGGGTAAGTAACCAAAGAAGTCATTGGATAATGGATATAAAATACAGCTCCTTCAGTCTATTAAGGAGGCAGTCAGATGGATCTCTAATCAGAGTCGGTAATGGTGAATTGAACTGGTTTAGGGACAAATCAGGCACTTTCAAACTGCACATTTGACTAATTGAATCTGGAATCGGACCCTCAAGATAATTTGCTTCCAAATTAAGAATGGCAAGTGAAGTCAGATTCTTAAAGCAATAGGGGATTGTGCCTTGGAAATTGTTGCCATTGAGATCCATGTGAACAAGACTAGTTAACTTACAGAAAGAATTCGGCAGTTGAATTCCAAAAAAGTTTGAAGAAAGATCATGAACAGCAAGAGAGGTGAACTTTTCAAGATTGTCAGGAATTGAAACATTAAAGCTGTTATGATCAAGTTGGAGTTGCTTAAGGCTAGTGGCATTGGACAACCAGAGAGGGATGGTGGAGTTGAAATTGTTCCACTGAAGATTAAGAGAAGTAAGAGATGTGAAATTGATATGTAAAAGAGGAGGAAATGTATGAAGTCCGCAGCCAGCAAAATTCAAAGAAACTAAAGGAAGGAAGGAAGTTAACTGAATATAACCAGTCATTAGCCATCCAAAAGTTGTACCCCGGACAAGTCTAAGCTTTTCAAGGAAGAAAGTCCATCTACCCACCTGAGGCTATCTACAGTCAATCCATAGTCCTTCACAAGGAAATGGGATGAGTATAATACATGGGGTTGTGCCAGGAGTGAATTTGCAATTGCTGGCTTCAGTTTGACTCCTACATTTTTGTTCCAGCAAATTAGTTGAACATATTGTGAGAAGCGGATTCCATCCCGTGTACATATGTAAGTATTGTATATATAGAAATATAAATTGTAGTCGAAATTTTGGACAGCAGGCAGGAACGGTTGCAGGTTCCCGGCGGTTTTGATCATTTTACATAGCGCGTAACTTTGGTTGCACACGACGTAACTTTGTTTGCACAACGTGTAACTTTAATACAAAAATTTACGAATCTCACACACGTTATGAAAATCGATATACAACTTGTGATATGAACCGCACATTTTTTTTTGATCAAAATCTGACTGTTGACTGTTCAGGGACGGTCATTCTGATGACCGTCCCTGCCCCTTGTCCCAAAATTTTGTGGTATAGGTCAAGAAGGAAATTATGGGTTCACTATTATCAATCAACTGTGATTAGTTATCAGGAAACTTTCAGAAAAGTCCCTAGATTCTGCAAGGAAAACTTTGTGGGAAAACAGAAACCATATCAGATCAAAAGGTTAAAACATTTAGCAACCCAAGAAAAAGAAAATGAGGGAGGAAGGTCTGTCAGACAACTGCAAGACCACCCTAGCCTGTGTTGAAGCACGAACTAGGAACGATCCTCTACTGCACTTGCGGCCCGCCAAGTGAGCCGCAAGAGCTGTCAATCACGCTCTGGTCAAGCAGTCATATTTCATCCACCAGACTTGGTTTCCTGTCTCCTTAGAACTCAAGGACACAGAGGTACGAGCCTATAGAACAGATCCTGTTCAAGTAAGGTCGTGACCTTTCTGCTCCAATCTTAGACATATAAAGGGTGCATGGCTCAACTAATTCATCGATGTGGGATATAAGACAGAGGATACCATACATTCTCCCAATCTGGCATTTGGTGGAAATGGGATAGTCCTTCACAATCCATATATGATGTTTGCATCTCTGTTCATTGGGTTGCACAAGAGTTGGCAATCAAATGCTCAACCACCCGCCTCGCCCCGTCCCGCTTTCCCTCGTGGGACAAATAAAAATTTGTTATATAATTTTATTATAGTTAAATTTCAACAAATAATCAAGTATTAAAATATCAATATATCATCAAATTATTATTCATTATAATTTCACAATTGAAACTTATAAAAATAATCAAACAAAATTATTTGAATACAATCTAATATGATGAAATAAATACAACTAAAGTAGTCAAGTTTTTACATTTGGCACAAATATAATCACTAATTCATTATTGTACTTATGTTTTTTTTTTTTGAGAAAAAAATGTTATTGTATTAAGTGTAATTAGGGATTTAATATAAATGTATTAGTAAATTTAATATAACTAATTAATAATTTCTATTAGTAGTTATATATAATTATTAGTATAATTGATAATATCAATTATAGTACATATACTAATATACATTATATAATACATATAACCAATAAAATCATTATCATAAGTTTGTAACAAATTAAATTAAATATTATATATAATTATATACGTATATATATATTTTTTAAATGGGTGGCGGGACGGGTGCCCGTTCCCTGCCCTGTTTCTAAACAGAGGGAAAAAATTCCCCCCACCCCCACGCGAGCACCCGCCTCCATTGCCATCCTTAGCTATGGACCCATCATTGAATTAGACCTGCCCTGTTTCTAAACCGGGCTTCCCCCAACCCCTCGCGAAAAATTCTCCCCCACCCCCGTCCCAAAAGCCCCCGGCGGGGCTGGTGGCTGCCCATTGCCATCCTTAGCTATGGACCATCATTGAATTAGAGTTCACCTGTTAGTGTTAATGATTTCTGCTTCTTCTACTTCAAATGTGCTCATGGTAACTGCATGGTGTAATCCCTGTCAACAAGGGCAGTAAACATGGAAAAGTCCTTGGCTTGCTTTTGTCACTTTAGTTCTCCCTCCTTTTATTTTCGTTTCTTTCTTTCTTTCTCTTTTTTTTTTTTCTTTCCCCTTGAAGCTCAACTTTATTCTTCCATAACATACAAACGGTAGAATAGTAGTTTGAACCAAAAAAAAAAAAAGAAGCTAAAATATGCTTTTAATTGTTTGAAATTTACTTTAATCTATAATGAAGAGATTTGACTAGTTGACTGTTGAACAAATTAAACGCGTAACTTGGAAATCATTAGCGTCCCTTTTCTTGTAAAAGGCACAAGCCAACTCCAATTATTAGACGATAATTCATGCATCTTCTCTTCCAAAAATATGGGTTAATTACAAAAACTTCCTTTAGGTATATCTAGTTTTGCATTTTACCCTCTAACGTTATTATTTGTTTATTTTATTCCTAAAATTCTTTAATCAACTCTAACATTGTACAATGGTAATATCAAAAAAGATATTTATACTCCTAAGATTTAACTGCAATTATTCCCCTTAAAGTATAGTGCATTGTGCGCATTTTCTAACACCTTGAATAAATCATGGCTAAACCATATTAATATCCCTAACTTAATAGTGTAAAAAAATAATATTTTTCATATATATGGGCATAGTCAAATTTCATCCCTTTATTTCACTTTTTTTTGGGTTGAGAGAAATATCCTACTTATTTCATGTAATAAGGGAAAAATAAACAAAAATCATTATTGAAAAATTAGAATGTGAAAATAAAAAAGAGAGACAGACAATATCTAGGCATTTTTAGACCTTTAACAATATTTTTACATTTAAAAATTCTAATTCTAATTTTTTGTTTATTATTTCACCTTATCAAGTGAAATGAGTGAATATTTCGCAAAAAAAAAAAAAAAGAATGTTTCCCTCCATATAAAAAAATAGGCATAATTATAGGACGAAATTGAACTAGATCCACATCCCCAGCGAGGCAAGCAGACTGATACACGAGAAGCATAACCAACTTGAAGGTGCAAGCTTGAAAGATTCCAAGATAGTGGGGATCCTGTCCCCCAAAACCAGCATTCGCGAGGTTCAGATATTCTAGATTTTTTAGATAACTAAAAGCTGCTGGAATTTGTATTCTTCAAAAGCTGTTTATGCTCAAATCTAGATACTGAAAATGCTCAAGATTGAGCAGAGATGGACTTATATCACCTCCTATGCAGTTGCTGCTAAAATGCAAGACAATCTTTGTCATCAAGTATCTTTGATTCCCAAATAAGAAAGGGTTACTTAAATCAAGCTTCATGACATGGCCAGTTATGTTGTTGCACAGCTCCTTCCCTAGCACAACAGTTTTTGCCATTCAATCAAGAAAGCCGGTCTGCTTCATCAATTAGGCCTTTCGCGAGTTCAGAAAGAGCTTCCCTCTCACTTGCAGTGCAGCTTTAGTTTAGCTAATCTGTTCTAGAGCTAGCAAATGCAAGTTTGACAACCAAAACAGCAGCTAAAATCAGGAGAATGCTGCCCATACATAGGACATGCCACTGTGTTTAGATAAGCTTTTTTGCTTGAAATATTGTGCAAGTGATACAAACTGCTGCAGTTTCTAGACGGTTACATAGAAAAAGAAACTAAAGGACCAAAAACTGGAGGGGACTATAAAGTGATGATTGATTTGAATCAATCGTGTTTCGGCATCTATATCTGCTTCTTGTTCAAGTACTGTTAATTGTTTGGCTTCCCAGTCAATCTGGGGACTAAATACGAGACAAGCCCTTCACTTCTTTCCTTTCCTGTTGACTATAGCTTTAGCATCCAAGCCACAGTTTTTTTAAGAGGATTTTGAGAACCGATCCTGGTACAATACTCATATGACTAATTACTTTTGAGATGTTCACTGCTGAAATAACAAAATTGATTTTGCGTGATAACAAAAAGAACATATATATATATCAAGAATATCGTCATTATTGAGTTGCTAAAAAGTACATAAAAAAGAGTATGAAGCAATTGCAAACAGGGCACGAAAGATGGGAACAAATGTTTTTGTCTCTTGAATTGCATGACAAACTTGTCCTGGGATGGGATGAAGCCAATACTAACATGCAATCAGCAGTCAACGAGTTTGATCAGCTCATCAACAACACTTGGATCTGCAAGCGTGCTTGTGTCCCCAAGCTCATCCAACTGTCTGGAAGCAATTTTTCTCAAAATTCTTCTCATTATCTTTCCACTTCTTGTCTTCGGAAGGCCAGGCGCCCAGTGTATTTTGTCTGGGGCTGCAAATGCTCCAATCTGGTACGTATGATGCTAGGAGCTTAGAATAAATTACCACATTCTTTTGTTCAGGAATTCTATCTTGAGGGAAATTCTTGTAGAAAGACACTCGATTTCATAAAGAATGGAAAACTGTGCTATAAAACTGACTTAGAACACAAGAGGCATTCACCATGGGGGCCTCCCAAACCTCCAGGCTCCAACACTGAGAAAAGAAAAATAACCTTCTTTCTACTTCAAACTAGCTAAGCTAAAAACACAAGATGTGCCCTAACTAGATCCATCGCTTATGTGCATTGAGGAATTAATCTCATACTCCTACATACATAGAGAATTGTAGGACCACTGGGAACTTGGACACATGAGCTCTGCTATTACTTGCATCATGCAGATTCCTGACCATTAACATCCATGTTAGGAGAAACTATAGCTTATGAAGTTGCAGTTCATTTGACTCACTCGATACGTTATTCGACTTCATCACATACAAGACAGCTATATGTACTCATGTATCTAGGTTAACCAAGTAAAAAAGCTTAGGTACACTACATTAGCATAGCAGATGGTGTTCTATTGGCTGCCATTACAACAAGCCTAGAGGGAGATGACTCGAGCAAGATGAACTTACTGCAGTAGAGTGGAAGACCTAAAACCAAGTAATACTAATCACGTGAAGCAATAACCTCTATCCTCATTGTTAAAACTCAGTTCATTGTAGATGATAGAACCCCCTAGATTCATGAGCAAGTAGAACCACCAGAAACCTTGACTGTAAGGTTTGTTTACCAGGAGGGGGGGTGAGGGGTTTCTGAGTGAGAGATCCGATATCCTAATGTAAGGTAGCTACAGCATTTACAATGACTTCTGAAAAAACACATAGCACTGGGATATCGCTTTCTTCAAGCTATGGATCAAGAATGTTGCTTCTTAAACGTACCTGGTTTCTCACTGTTAGTATAAGACTTCTTCGCAGATCTTCACTGTATAGAACACTTTCTACTAGGGTAACAAATGCATATATGCCCTGTCCTTTGACCTGACAGCATTGAATCTTTTAGCCATAGGAAAGTGATGACATTTTGTACATCAGAAACTCAGGAAACATGTCATGAAGAAAACGTACCTCATGCTCAACACCAACAACAGCAGCTTCAGCACACTGAGGGTGTGAAACTAGAGCAGATTCCACTTCAGCAGTACCAATGCGATGTCCACTATATATGTATGTATGGCATTAGACATTCAAACGAACATTTGACAGTACATAACCCAATAATTAGTTAGCGAAAAGTAATTGTTGTGATTGAATCATGCCAACAGTTAACCAATTTAGCTGCATCCTTTAAGCGAAAAGATGACTGAAAGTTAAGAAAGTTTACCTGACATTAATAACATCATCAACTCTTCCAGTGAGCCAATAATAGCCATCTTTGTCCCTAATGAATTCAAGGCAACATAATCATATAGCAGTACTTGGAACTTAAGGTAAATACATAAATGATCTATGAATTTATTAATGCTAGTGAAGATGTCTGAACATGGTAAACAAGCGTAGAACAGTGAACTACCTGGTGCAGCCATCGCCAGTAAAGTAATAGCCAGGAAATGCACTAAAGTATGTAGCTTCATATCTTTCATGATCTCCATAAAGAGTTCGAAATGCGGATGGCCATGAGCTTTTCACACACAAATATCCACTGCACTCGCCTTCAATTTCAGCACCTTTTTCATCTACTATGACAGGCTGTAACAATATTAGAAGATTATATAACATGAGCTTCCTTGGCTTCAAACTTTCAATACAAGGATTGCTTAAACGATGCACCAAAGAAGCTATGGTAAAAAGTCAGTTTTTTTTTTTATTTTTTGTGCTTGCCAATTGTTTAGAGAGTAAAGCTGCAACTGGCTGCTAGTTTAAATATTTAATAGGAAAAGGATTTTGGAATCATAAAATCAGCACAAGCTCGCAAGCTTTTACATAATAATGGATGTAAATAATTCATTTAATTAGATTTTCCATGTTGGTGACATGGCAAGTTGGTGTGATTGTAAAGCAAATTATTACATTTCTTATAGTCAGAGTAACTCAGGGAAAAAAAACATATTCCTGTTTTCTAAGGAACCTGAAATAGGAAGAACAAAGATCAAATCGAATGCAAGATTGCCATAGGAGGGTAGTTTAGTTACTGAAAGTAGTCCTGTTTCTAATCAGGTGCAGAATTGGATGTTATCTGTAGGATATACTGTCAGTTATCCTGAGCGGATTATATGCTGGATAACTATTCTAGATGCTATTGAGACTCATGGAACTATTAATCCCAGGACAAATAACCCTGTATTCCCCATGAACTAAATGCGCCCATATTCATAAGATTTGGATGCTACCAATTCTTAAGAACTAAGCAAACTTCAAAGCTAAGTGAACCAAGAAACATAGAAAGCAAAGGCTAATAATTTGTGGAAGCCAAGTCAGGAATGACAGCCTATAGAGGATGTAAGCAGATATCAAATTTGCTATAACATCTAATCAATTTGATTCCTTTAGAAATCCCAAATTTCTGATACTAGTCCACATGAGCTAGAATGACTTTATAGCCTGTAATCCTTACCTATTTCAGTATCTTCTGAAATTTCAAAATCGCCCTTCAAACTCTAACACTCTTGTCAACAAATTATCAGACTGTAATACATTAAAAACAACCTAAATTATATCAAGTTAAACCGAAATACTAAAAGAGCAAGGGTTTCCAGAAATCCGTCATTTCTGGTATTCACCAGGCAGCGCTGTTCTTATCTTTGCATTTGCATCAGTAAAAATGTCTAGAAATTCAACATCACTCCATGGAAAATTTGAACTTTCAGTAATGATCCAATTAGAAACCGGATGCAAAGAGCAAATAACTATAGGATGAGCAAAATCACAATTATCCTCCCACTTTACACATGGTTGTATGCTAGAATACTTCTTTTGTCCTCCCCATTTAAGAGGGCGTAGCATCTGAGGTAGTGTCATATCATATTATAGTTTCACGTGTGTACCTGAACTCCAAAAAATGGAAATGTAGCAGAACCAGGTTTCTGAGGCCATGCTCCAGGCAAAGGAGTAATCTGAAAGTTGACAAAAGTGCTACATGTTAGACACATACTGGTTTTCCCAGGCAAACACCATGACACAATCATACAGCAAAGAAGAAACTATTCAGAAACATGCCATAAAACCACCAGTCTCAGTTTGCCACCAAGTGTCAGATATAGGGCACCTTGACTCTCCAACTACATTAAAATACCACCTGGCACAATTAAAGGTCATTGACAAATGGATGATAAACAGGTTTGGAAACTTTAAATAATTGGAAATAGCATATGGCATTATTTAGTCACAAACCTCCATGCACTTGGATTGATCGGCTCACCCACACTTCCAAGCACTCGTAAGGACTTGCGTGAATAACGGGTGACGTACTGTGCACATAGATGGAGGAGGAAATTAAGATTAGTAACATTAGCATACATGTGAAAACAGGAGGAAATTGAAAAGAGAAAAAATGGCTTTTCTCAAAAAGTAAATGCTATTATCCATATGGAATCTAGACTGTTGCAAGAAAAATACCAGAATTAAGGTCATAACTATTTTAACAGGATCAAAGGCAAAAATATATTTTCCCTCTTGGTAAGCCCCAACCAGTAAGCAAACCACAGAGACCAGTCAGATGGTTTTTATGCATCCAGCAACCAATTAAACTATCAGGCCAAAGGCATTGTAGTGAGTTTGTCATCATAGAATGGTGATGAAACACAAAATGGAATACTCAAGAAAAGAAGACTGTTATGGCTGTAACTTAGCTTCAAAGTTTTGATCCTGAAGCAAGTCCCTCAATGAAGCCATTGCCACTCAACTCTCAAGTAACAAATATATCCAATATAAAGAGCAAAGCAAAACTAAGACAAGCCCCAGAAATTGAATATGAGATGACTGGTAAATTTCTTCCAATTACAAGTTACGTTAAACAATATAACCAGAAAAATGGAACAGGACAACAGTTGATTGTATTCCTTGCCTGATCTCCCTCACGCATTAGCGACCGCACCAATGTGGGGGCGGTGTAGAATATTGACACCTTGAATTTGTCAACAATGTCCCAACACCGCCCAGCATCTGGATAATTAGGAGCCTGCAGGAAATAGAAGCCGTGTTACTAAGCATGCAGTTCTACAATCCTATTTCACTTACTTTTGCCAATCATTTTGTTTGTCCGGATGTCAAAGCAGTACTGCACACTTACAAGAAAATCAATGAAATGAATAATAATTTTTAACCTTTCACATTCCACATATGAAGTAAAAAAATTAATGTACAGGTTTCTAAAAGATTACCCCTTCAAAAACCACAGCAGTTGCTCCATTTAGCAAAGGTCCATATGTAACGTAGCTGTGCCCAGTAATCCAACCACAGTCAGCTGTACACCTGAATCAAAATTGTGGCCAAATATATCAGCAACCCAGCCCACTTGTAAGTTTGCCTAAAAGGTAAAGTATTAAATTGTGAGTACCAGTATACATCTGATGGCTTGTAGTCAAATGCATATTTGAAAGTTGTTGCAGTGTATACCATGTAGCCTCCAGTTGTATGCAGGACACCCTTAGATTTACAGAAAGAACATCTTTATAGACTAAAGCATAAAAAGAACTGGAAGTATTAATTTTTCAGGATATATTCAGACCTTTGGCTTTCCAGTACTCCCGCTAGTATACAGGAGGAAAAGTGGATCCTCTGCATCAACCCATTCCACAGCACAAGTAGTGGGGTGTTTAGGAACAACATCCTGGAAACAACATAGGATTTGCTCAAATCAGTGCAGAGAACGAGTAATTCAGAATGTAAAAACCATGAATAGCATAACAGATGGATTTAAATGGTTATTTCCAAGAGCTATGATTCTCTTAAAAAGCAGGGGGTAGACAATAGAGTATCAAATTTTTCTCCAGTAGTAGATATCCAAAGAGGGGTAACGTTAGACGCAACTTTAATGTCCAGTCAAAATCGATTGCGGATGCACTAAAAGTGCAATCAGAAAACTGCTAACTACATGACAATGACACATAATATTATGTGCAAGAGTACCAACATATCATTTATTGCGGCATGTTTGCCTCCTAACCTGCCACCATATATCTCTTCCCTCTTGCCACTTTGTAGATTCCCTCTTCATGGCTGATTCATTTTCATATGTCAAGCAAACGTCTGCAATAAGTAAATATAACATGCTACATAAGAAAGTATGCACTCTAAGAGCTTCAGCCAATAAGCAAAGTAAATGAAGAGAGAACAAAATCAAGAAATCAAGAAATAAATCCTAGATTCTCATAGATAAAATGATCCACTTCAAATAAAAGAAGCATTCTATAACAGGATATCGGCTTTATGTGTTCCTATAATTTGGGGGAAAAAAAAGCAATAGTCCATTTATGACCGATGTCATAATGCAGCAGCTTAGTTTCTAACCCAAAGGATTGCCATTTCGGGCAGATTCTGCAAGGGCAGCATCAACAATGTCCTTTAGATAGATAATCTTGGAACCTCTTCTAACAGCATTGCAAGTTATGACAACCTTGGGTTTGCAATCCATGATTCTCTGGGCGAGTGATTCAGCAGAGAATCCTGCAAATACCACCTAACATACCAAACAGACAATCAAGAAAACTTGGGATTTCAATAATAAAACTCCAAGTTGTACTAGCATCATCTAGCTTCAGAAAAGTAACAAATAGAGGATTAAAAGATATGGGTTTGAGTTATACAGAGTGAACAGCACCAATGCGACTGCATGCAAGCATAGAAATGGGTAGTTCCATAAGCATGGGCAAGTATATGACCACAGCATCTCCCTTGCGGACACCAACATCTTTTAACCAATTTGCAAGCTATTGGAATGAGAAGGAAAAGCCAGGAAAGCGTCACATGGGCTAAGATCACAAGTCCTTAGGAAGAAAAGTAAAGGATAGAAGTGATATATAAAGACCTGACAAACTCTAGCCAGCAGTTGTTTGTAAGTTAAGGTGCCATCAAAACCAGGTTCATTTCCTTCCCAGAAAATTGCAATTTTGTCACCATCTCCGGATTCGATGATTCGATCCAAACAGTTGTAGCATAGGTTGGTGATTCCACCTTTGAACCACTGTATTCAGTGGCCACATCCACAGGCAGAAAAGAAAAAGGATTAATTACAGTTTACCTCCCGAAACTATATCGCACGTGGGCTTCATTGCTCTGTACCAACTAATAAGTAGTTTACCAACTTTGAAAATTTCCTTTTGTGGCATAAGTACAAAGATGATATAGATTCTTCTTGGGTGAATGTTTCCTAAAATGTTAGTGTAAAAAGTATTTTCACACAAACTTATCTACATGTGAATTTTTGGCATACTTAGGCTACCACAATATTGTTTGTTAAGTCTTTTTCCTATCTATTTTATTTGGTTATTGAAAAGTCATTGAAATAACATGAAAAAGGAGCAGTACAATCTAATTTTTTTTATTGGATTATTTGTTAAAATAAGAGGATTAATCACTAAATTGGTTGAGTAAAATAGAAAGATCCTAGAATATTCTTATCGTCAAGAATGAGAAGAAATAAAAGATTGTGTTAAAATTCATTACTACTAAAATCAGGCATCATACACAACCTCTGCAGGGCATTTTTATTTATAAACACCTCTATCATCTTTTTACATTTATTTATATTGGATGGATAAACAATCTATGAATTTTATTTAAGGGGATAATTGCAAATACTATGCAGGATTGGGGGTAACAAAAGAAAAGGGAATTTTTAAAAATAAAAAAGACAAAGAAATTAGCGAAAGTAATGAGTTGAAAGAGATAAAAAGAATTAACCAAAGTAAAGGATAAAGATGGGATGGACCTCGATATTGATTTTGCCTTTACGAATATCAAGATTCTCAGCGTAAACCTGTGGGCCCCATCTCTCTTTCCAGAAAAACCCTGAGGCCATTTCTGACCAAAATCCTGCGGGGTCCTCGATTGACCTTGCATACGTCTCCAAGTACTTGGATGATAAATTTGCAAAGAATTAAAAAAAAAAAAAAATCAGAATCTCGGCAAAATTGGACGGAGAGTCCATGCCTATCATTAGTAATATTAATTGGTGAGGAAAATTTCAAATATTGTAGTTGAGATTTATCACATTAACTAGGTGTTATTTGGATGGTCAATGGACCAGAGAAATTGATGAGATAAAATTTAACTTTTTCAATTTTTTTCATTTTACTGAAAATGTCATGCTGCACATTTTAAAATGTTTTTAAATTTTTCCGACCTTAACAAAGATAAAATTAGATCTTCTTTTTTTTTTTTTCCGATTATTGTCCTTGCTACATAATATCACTATTAAAGCGCTATTTCTTAAAAAAGTTAAATACTCAAAGAGTCGCTAATATCATAAATAAACCATTATTTTCACAAGGAAATAAAAGATTCTAAAAAAAAAATTAAGAGATGATAACTTTAAAAAAAATTGACAAAAGTATGGTGGACAATAAAATCAAACAGAAAGGAGCAATTGAGTGGTAGTGGAAAATGGAAGGAAGGATTGAGACATAGGACTGAGGGGTGGAAACAGCGGAAAGTCCATCTTCTTGAGTATTACTACCTTCTGGGGTGAAGGAACGTGAGCCTGCATGGAGAAGGCCTCGCTGGGGAAAACCAGATGATCCTCCTCTGAAGCTAGAGACTCCCCCAGGATGACGGCATTCAATCTAGATATTGGACCGGCGCCGGAGGGCAGGGTGCTCATCGACTCCACATGGCGCAGGTGATCCGACGTCTTCAAGGTAGTCGTAGAACAACCGTTTGCGGATTGGGTTTCGTCCTCCATTGACCCTGCAACTGCTGCCGCTGGTGGTGGTGGTCGCGGCAATCCTAGCTGTTGAACTTCGAATTGCAAGAGATGGGAATCTCCACATGCTAATTTATATTAGTTTGTACTAATCAAGATCCTTGCGATATTCTTGATTATAGTAATAGAAGCATGGAGTGTGACAATTAATGATCTTAGTTGTAGTTTTCTTGATTATAGTAGTCATTGAGATACTCCGGATATTGTTGCTGATTATAGTGTTAGTCGCAGGAGCATGTATTAATTAATTACCAATATATTATTTAGGGCAAATTCCACTTTACCCCCTGTGGTTTAACATTTTTTTTTTTACATAACTCTCCTATGGTTTCAAAAGTTATATATAACTCCCTTATGATTTAGATTAAAGTGTCAAAGTGATGGGAATGACCATTCGTAACGGAGTCACCTAAAATGTCAAAAATACCCTTATGTAAAGTTAAAAATTATTTATTAACTAAGGGGGGTTATGTGTATATTTTGAAAATTATAAGAGGGTTATTTGGTAAAGTATTAAACCATAAGGGGGTTATATAGTAAAATATAAAAATCATACGGGTTAATGTGTCATGTATTTATAAGGGTAATTTGGACATTTTTAGAAGTTCCGTTACAAGTGACTATTTCCGTCACTTTGACACATTGATCCAAACCATGAGGGGGTTATGTATAGCTTTTGAAACCATATGGGGGTTATGTAAAAAATGCTAAACTACAGGGGGATAAAATATAATTTGCCCTATTATTTATAGTATTAGTAGCAATTACGATGTACATTTTTTTAAAAAAAACTTTTTTTTCAAGAGGAGAGTAGTGAAACCTAAGAACGACCAGGGAGAGAGGTAGGACAGGAAATTTGAGTCGAGATGTACATCTTGATATTGTTGACTATAGTATTAGGAGGAGGAGTTTGAGAATTACTACTCTTGATTGGAGTAGTGTTGATTATAGTAGCAATTGAGATGCTCGAGATTCTGTTGATTATAGAATTAGTGGCAGGAGTAAAATTAATTGCTATTCTTAATTGTAGTTGTTGTAGGAATTGAGATACTCCTATAGTATTGATAGCTGGAGAGTAATAATAACTACTCTTAGTTTGAAGGAGTGTTGCTCAACAAGCTGGGGCTACCCTTCCCTCGTTTGAAGGAGTATGCTAACAAGTTCGAAAATTGTACAGTACAATGATATAGTAAAATGCGTCAATCGTTTTTCATTTTAGAATGTTAGCAAAGAAAAAGGCTTTATTAAGAACAAAATTTTATGAAGGTTTTCTAAACATATATTCCCACCACTTTTTAATTTATCAATTGTCTTTTGATCCCATATATATTGCATCATAAAAAAAAATCGTTATATTAATGACAAGTTTTTCTCCCAAATAATCTTTAATCCAATCAGGCTGAAGTTATCTTTGATCTTCATTTTCACAATTGTCCCTTCCTAATGTTATATTCAACATTAAAATTCACATTTTGCTGCAGGATAAGTTTGAAAAAGAGAATCAGCACCGTTATCCTAAGTACTAATCTTAAAAAGATTTTTCTAATAGGTGTCCCATGGTGACTTGTTATTACACCTAATTTACGTCAAACTTACTATATGACACACATATTCATAGTTGTTGCGTTCACTGTTTTTAGACATTCTTCCATATAAATAACTCTTTTACCAAAAAGAAAAAGAAAAAAAAAAAACTAACATTGGGGGTCCTCTTAAAATAGGGACATTATAATGGTCCACTTGAACCATTTTACATGAAGGGCCCATTTCCTTGTGAGAGGGGTTCATATAAACTCAATTTACATGCAAAATTCTCCATTAAAAAAAATTAGATCACTGAAAAATGAGAAATTTTTTTAGATAATATATAGTCCGTCCATCCCATAAAAATATGCCAATTTCTTATTTCACACATAGATTAAGAATTGTTAGGTGTTATGGTTAAACCAAAGAATTAGTTACACTGGTTGGCTAAGCCCAAAGATATTCAGTAGTGCTTTTATTTTGACGGCTTCCCTCTGGTCGATGTTTTATATAGCACACAATGTCGACGTAATCAGTTGTCTCACTAATTATATTTTAAAGCTTGCAGTTGATTAATCTAGCATCAACAACTATCTGAAGAAATATAGAATTTAAGGCTACAATTGAAGTTTCAGAAATTGCAAAAGAGCAAAATTGAAGGGTCAAAATATATCACAAAAGTTAAAGAGTACCAGTTTTGGATTCCTCCTTTTATGCTTTATGCATCGAATTCCTCTTTTTTTTTTGTTTTTTATTTTTTATTTTTTAATCTTATTCATCTCCATTTCCTGATTTCTCCCGTTCTTCGCTTTTTAAGTTCCCCTATTTTGATTATATTTTGCTTCTTTTTTCTTTATTCACAAAAAAGAAGTAAAATGGAAGCTATTTTTTTTTTTTTGATCTTTTTCTCTTCCCTTCTCATATCTTCCTTCTTCGTCATTTCCTTCTTCCTTTCAAATTAATTTTAGGTCTTAAGATGTATTTTTTTTTTTTTTTTTTAACATCCACTAAGAGCGACTTAAAAAAATAATCATACCAATTTTGCTGTTCATCAATTTTCATAATATTAGCAACTCAGCAATAGTAACCATTGCTTTAGGATAGCCAATATCACCATAATCACACCCTTAGAACAAGCCATTTTGTTTAGGTGCTAGAAGAACTTTGCCTGGAAGATTGATTGAGTGAATAAATTGCTAAAGGTTCTTCATCGTCATTTAGAGAAGCAACTAAAAATGACAAAAGTTTTTTTTTTTTTTTTTTGGGCAGGAGGGGGGGGGGGGGGGGGGATGACATGTAAACTGATGATTGAATTGAATAAGCTGTGATTTTGCATCTAAAAGTTTGAAATTTGAGTTTGCTTGTTTTATTACTCTGACTAGGCTGCTGTGTATTCTTAATGGTATGAAGAAACTGGATTGTCGATGCTTTACCTCTGATTAACTTGACAGATTGGTGAGTTAAGTAGCATATCTTTTCTAGGTAAGAACTGCGTTTGCATTTATGAGAAGAAAGATTTTCCTTCTGGCAAGCTTTTGACCATCCTCTTTTCTTTTTCTTTTTTTTTTTCTGTGCTGGAAATTTTTGTTGTTCCTCTAAAAAGGAAGTGGAAATTTTTTATCGATATTTTCTTATTTTACAATTAGATGAATAATACATTCTAGATGAAGTCCGATAACATTACAACTATAATTGATGATGCATGTAACATCACTCAAGCAAACTTCTCTTTTAGCAGTGCAATTTCTACCCATACTTTTATTAAACAAGTTCTCCAGAAATCTCAAAAATGCATAGCGCCATGAGTTGTTGAAATATAGGACACTGAAAAATCCCAAGAGACCAACAGCAAAACCAGCATAAAACCAATAAAAATCAGGCTCCTTGCCACCTTCTTGATCACCACATTCTCCGGCATATGATTTACCATCGGATTCAGGGCAGCTGTTTTCTAGCGGTTTACCGCAAGGTCCACTATTTCCCATGTAAATGGACGGTTGACCAATGTCTGCAGATGATGTCCGGATGGAATTCGTCCAGTTAGCTTATTAAACGATAATTTCAGCCAGCTCAGAAAACTTAAGTCTGACAAACTTTGAGAAATTGAACCGGAAAGCTCATTTTTGGATGGATCTAGAGACTGAAGTTGCTTCAAGTTCCCAATGTTTTCTGGGATTCTTCCACTTAGATGGTTTCCAGATAAATCCAAACCCTGTAATCCAACAAGAGTCATTAGCTCGACAGGTATTTCTCCACTTAATTTAATTTTTGAGCGCCCCATGAATCTAACATATCGCACATTACTTGAGGTGTAATTGAGATTTCCACCCTTAATGAAAGCTCTTCATTGTAATGTAGTAACATTTCGAAATATGTTGAAACCACAACTTCAAGAAAACCGATTCAGAGTCCAATTGTGTCAGTGTCATTGCAGTAAAGTTGGTCACACATTGAGGTATATGTCCAGTTAAGTTGTTGTTTTCCAATTTCAAAACCTGAAGAGATGATAATTTGCAGAGGCATGTGGAAATGTCAGTCACCATGGAAATTGTTGGATTCAAATACAAGGTACTTCAGACTCAATAGCTGCTCACTCAATAGCTGCTCACCAAGAAACTTCAAGTTTTTGAAATGTTTCTAACGAGGCTGGGAGCTCCCCAGTGAGATTGTTGCGGTTCAAGTGCAAAGATTGGAGAAAATCTGAATGTCCCAATGAAGTTGGAATGCGCCCAGAGAGACTATTGTTTGCTAGATTTAGCACACCAAGAAATCGAAGCTTATCAATGCAAGAAGGGATTTTTCCGCATAGCTGGTTGTTCGAAAGAAGAGCATGTATGTTGCACAAAAAATCAGGGATGGTACCATTTAGGTGGTTTTTACTGAGTTGAAGCATTCGGAGAGTATCCAATGTCATGTTAGTCTCAGGGTGTGGAATTGGCCCTTTCATTGAGTTGCTTTTCAGATGTAATTCAGCAGTAAATGTTGGAAACATATTCAAAGGCCCATCGAATTTGTTGGACTCCAAATGTATACGTCGGTATCTAAAACCACTATTTCTGCTAAGCTCCATTGGTGTTCCGTTCATGTTATTATAGGACAAATCCAAAAATTTGATACCAGAACATATCTTATCTAACCAATCTGGAATTGAATCTGGGATGCCTGTATATGACATATCCAGATATTCAATTTTTTTCTGAGACTTTATCCACAGAGGAAATTTGGCCCCAATCTTGATGGAAACCATTCCAATATGTTGGAGTTGACAAGGTGGAACCCATGAGAGATTGACATTCAATGTGAGAATATTTCAGTTGCCTGAGTTTGGCAAAATGCAATTCACGCAGCTCCCCACTCATTGGATTCTCGGATAGATCCAAGTGTTTTAACCTAATAAGCCTCCAAAAGTGAAGTTTACCCAGCTCCCCGTTCAAGGCATTTTGGGAAAGATCCAAGTGTTCTAACTTAGTAAGCCTCCAAAGCCATGATAGAATGGTACCATTGAACCCATTATAAGCAAGATTGAGTTCTGTGAGTTCTCTAACTTGCCCAATCACACTTGGGATTTCGCTTTGTAATTCATTCGACCTCATGTCTAGTACTGAAAGAGAAGTTGGGTTGCCTAGGCAAAAGGGGAGTGAGCCTTGGATTTGATTATAACTCATGTCTAGATAAACAAGATTGTTCAAAGTGCAAGCGTGGGTAGTGAAGTACTACTAAATTTATTAACTGAAAGATCGAGTTTGGTGAGAGAAGTCCACTGCTGGAAGCTAATAGGAGATATTGGACCATAGAAATAGTTGAGATCAAGATTGAGATGAACAAGTGAAGTCACATTAAACAACCAGAGAGGGATTGTGGAGTTGGTACAAGATGTGATATTAATATGTAGAAGATGAGAAACAGGATATACACCACGAGTTTGTAATGACAATGACGACAAGAGAGGAAGCTTGTTCGGTGCCTGTAACCAATCTTGGGCTTTCTCCTAGGCTCACCCCAGAGAGTTTCAATGTTTTCAGAAAAGAAAGACTAGTGATCCATCTGAGACTTTTTGTAGAGAATTTATAATAAAATGTGTAAATAGTCCATCTTTCAGATGCATCACCAAGATGGAGATGTTGTAAGGCTGAGAGATTTCCTAACTGGGGAGGAATTGTCCCATTGAAACCTGGAATAGAAAGGTTGAGATACCTCGAAATTTTCAAGAATCCCAGAAAATTTGGGATTTGAATCCCTGCAAAATTATTCGAGCTTAGATCCAAGTAATGCAAATGCTGCAGTTTGGTTAAAGAAGGACTTATATGACCTTCCAAGCAGGTTTTATCATAGATAGACATATACTGTTGTGAGTCACTCGACATCCATAGATCAAAATATTACGCAGATCAAGTGTCATCACATGCCCAGTATTTCTGCAGTCAACTCCTTCCCATGAACAAAGTCTTCTCCTGTTTGGGAAGCCAGACGATCTGATTTATCAACCAAGCCTTTCTTAATGTCGAGGAGCGAATTTTGCTCACTTTCAATGCAACTTATATTTGAATATGATCTAGCAGGAGAACAAAACATAACATAGTGAATTTAGTGATATTGATCATATCTTTACCAGCAAACGTGCTAACAAGCTCAATGAGAGAAATTTTTATTTTCTATTAATGTTTTCACACAAGATTCATGAAAAGGTTTGAGTGCATTATGGATTTCAATGTTTGAATGGGAGCATAGAATTATGGATTTCAAAAGTTGCAAAAATGTCTTGTAGTTACTGTAGGCAGCTAGAAATTTTTCCTTCTTCCTGGAAATTGTTCTCTCTTTTCTCCTTCTATGCTAAAAATTTCTTCAGTTGCATGGCAAAGAAGAATGCAAGTCTTTTGTGCAGTACCGAGTACCTCATACGAGATTCTCTGTAGAAGGATTAAAAAATTTTCATTCTCATTTTAATGTGCAAAATACAAAGCCAAAAATTCATGTAAAACTAACTACATGAATTGGTTTTTAAGTGTTCTTCATATAACTATTCTATATTGACAAAGTCTCAGACCTTTGAGTTCTTTGCAGATAACGTTAGCAGAATTCAACAAGAACAAATAAATCTAGATATATATGCAGGTCTGCATTATCAGAGATCGAATATACTGACTCTAATGCATGATAAATTTCTCTCAAGGAACAAAAAACATTCTATATAACGTATATGTCCCGAAATTCCGGCATTAAGGATCGTGATTACTACTTTTGCGTTTGTTTTGACCCCAAATTTTTTTAAAAATTTTTCGATTTATAGGATGCCATAGATTGGTAATAGGATGGTAAGTTTTATATCGGGGGTTTAACTTAAAACAAATCAAAAGATTGACATTCAACAATTCCACTACATATTAACGGCATTCTCATTCTTATTTTGATACGTTATTGTTTTATTTTTCTGTGCATTATTTCTTCGTTTTGGCAACAATTGAAAACAGTTGTAGTTAAAAATCATGAAAAATTAGTAAGGTTTCTCCTAATATCACTTAACACCCCTGATGTTTTAAAAATAATCACTTAGCTCCCCTAGCAATTGGAAAAATATTATATTAACCCTCACTTGATACATAATTCACATACACTTGGCATGGGGTAACATGTGCTGCACATTTCCACCGATGCTACAACTTTTTCCACCCTTCCACCGGTGCAAGTCTTCTTTGAATTGAAGTAAACGAACTGAGGCCACCTTTGTCCCATAAAGGGAGTTTAGTTTGGAGAGATTTGCACCCCAAATGAGAATTTTCTGTTGTTGCATTAGTATTTCAATTAGAAATTTGGAATCATTTCCATGTACTCTGAAGACACCATACTATTTGAATCTTAGATTTTTTTTTAATTCTCTGGTTTTAGATGGCAAAATCAAGTGAAAAAAAATAAATATGGATACATTTCTAGCGTCGAAGATCAAACTTATTAATACATGATAACTTTCTTCTAGAATATGAAAAACATACATGATAATTGGAATGCTGGAAAAATACAAATATTTAGGATGATAATGAAAATCAACATTTGCTTCAAGTTTAAACATGGAAAAATTTGTCCTTTTAAAGTTTAAACGTATTGCGCTGAATCATTAAGTATTCGTCCAATGATCCAGGAGAGTTTGTATACTATGTCGGGGGTTCAAACCTCTATAGTCTCCATACAAAGTTTCTTTAGGCTTCTCATTCTTCGTAGTGTAAGAGTAGTATAGATTATTACTATTGTTGAAAAAAGAAGAGCGCTGAAAATCTGGGATTGAAACAAATGTTTTCTTTTACCACCTAATCCCATGCCAAAGTGGTTAATTTTAACTCTACCATCCCCAAAAGACAAAAAAAAAAAAAAATCTCTACCATCCCAGCTAAAATGACATCTGTATCCATATAGCCAAAGCAAACACGGGCAAAACAAAATTTCTTAGTGAAGGGCACTACCGGGCCTTGATTCTCATAATGCATCGGCAATACACCTAACCCACACAAAAAGCCTGATAACACATCATATGGGCTATTGGCCCACCACTATTGTCAAATAGGCTAATAAAGCAATCCTCGCATAGCCAGCCTAACACCCACACAAATTTGACCGTAAACGGTCCAAAGCCAAAGTCCATAGAACTGAACAGACAAGATAGTAAAAGGGTCGTTGGAAAAGGGTAAATCAGTAATCTAAACTAAAATAACCCGCTTTAAAGGTTGTACTCTCAGCTGCATGAATGATTTACTTGGCATTCGAAATTACTAAAAGACTCACCCACTAGGAGACGGACCAAAGTAAAACTGCCCAAAGCCCTTTTTTTGTTATATATGTAGGAAAAACCCTAGCAGGAGTATTCCCTTCCGTTTCTGCCACCCGCCGCTGAAGCTGGAAAGATGGTTCGCCCGCCCCTCTCCTCCTCTCACAGCTTCTTCCTGCTTTTTTGCCTTATAACAATTTGCGTAATTGTTGGTTTCGTCTTTGGTTTTGATTTTTCATGTCGAATATGCTCGAATTATAACAATTTTTTTGGTACTTTGGGGTGCTTTTCCAGGTGAAGTACTCAAGGGAGCCCGATAACCCTACCAAGTGTAATTGCTCTTTTCCTGCCTCCCTTTTTTTTGTTTATTTGTTTTAAGCTAGATTTTGACTTGGTTTTACATTTTTAGATTTGTTTTAAAAGATTTTATCATCGATTTTTAGGCTTTTGTGCTAATTTTGTTTAATTTTTTTTAAATGCAGCCTGCAAAGCCAGGGGATCTGATCTCCGTGTTCATTTCAAGGTATGGATTGTTCTCTCACTCTCTCTCTCTGGAATCACTTGAACAAATGGATGCTTTGATCTACTTATTTGAAGGCCATTTAGTTCTTTTCCTGCTCTATATGTATGTTTTTTTTTGGCTATTTATTGGTCCTGGAGGTTCTTCTGGGGTTTTTGATTGGACTTGTCGGTAGTATAACCTGATGAAAAAAGCAGGGGCCTGTTGCCGTTTAATGTGAATGGGTCTCTCGTAAACTTCAGGGAAATAAAACTTGGCATTGTTATTGGGTGAACCTCTTGAGCTTCATGATCCACGGTTCAGTAAACGATGGCACATTTTGATTATATAGTCGTCTTTCTTTGATTATTAGAACAACCCAAGGAAAACTAGTGTTTTCTACTGACATTTGGTACGATTCAGACTAGCTTGTTTGTCATGGATGTTTTAGTATTAATTTCTTAAATTGATGAACGGTTGTAACCTTGTTTTCAGCTCTCAAAAAATTAATTTTGAAATAAAGAAAAGCTGGCAGAATGGGAACGTTCTGTCCCTTGGTATGTGGGGAAGATAATTGTTTAGTGAATGACAAGTCCCCGTACCTTTCAACCTAACATACTTTTATGATTCATTTTGATGTGGGTTGGGGTTTTAGTATCCACATCTCGGTGTTATAGAAAGCAGGGATTGTGTGTATCGACGTTGTGCTAATTTGTCATTGCACTTTGCTCGAAAGAATTCTCTGCGATATGATTTTTTTTGGGAAGATGGGCAGTTGTATTTCATTATCTTGTTGAAAACCTTCAACAATCATCTTCCTGACATTATTATATGTCCATCTTGCTAATCAGACTGGCGTTTGAAGACAAGAAGTAAGCTTCATGTCTTTATGAGCTTTTTCGATCCTTGGCGAACGTCAGTTGCCTTCAGAATTTCCTGGGAGAGTGGGATATTGTTGATTTAGTTTTTGATTGAATACTAGTGGGAATGATTAATAAGTTCTAGTGGGCATTTCAAAGTTGCAACAAAATCTGTTGGATCCACTATTATGCCCTATGTTCCTTTTTCTACAACTTTATTTGTGCTTTGATGTTGGTTTTTTTTGGGGCTTAGAGATGCAAATCTTAGTTCCTGTGGTATTATAGTTGTTACCTTGCTAGAGTAGTATGCGGCTTTTTGTTTTCTTTGGAACAGTACATAATTCATGATGTAAAATCTGCCATATCCCTCAATGGTGCTACTTTGTTATTTGGTCTGAATCCTTAGCTAGTTCTTATCCAAGTATACAATCTGAAAGACCGTCTGTACTCCTGTTCTTTAACAGAACACAAGGGAAACAG